TTTTAAGTATATTTCTTTACAAAGTAAAAAGTTTGCTTCAAGTTGCAAAAAAAAAAAAAAAAAAAAAAAAAAAAAAAAAATATATATATATATATATAGTTGTTATTTAAAAAAGAAGAAGAAAAAAAGAAATAAAAAATAAGACGACTTCATGCACGGAGTCTTTGGGCCTCCATGCAAGGAGACCAAGGTCTCCGTGCACGGAGAGAGAAATGAATTTTTTTTTTTACTTATATTTTTGTATTTATTTTTAGGCTCATTACGGGATATCAAATGAAATCGAAATATTACATTCTTAATATCGTTTTGAAGTACTCACGACATAATATTGGACGTCGTTAACAGTGCGTGAAACGGTCAATCGTAGCAAATGTTATGGGACGTCAAAGTAGGCATTTTCAAACTATATTTCAAAATTTTCGATAACAAGCTAATTTTAAAAATTCATCGACAATTCTAGGATAGTCGAATTGATAAATGTTTTATATTTTCTCGAAACTCATTTTGAGAATTATATCGTAGAAATATCGAATGATCTAAATAAATATCGAAAATAATTAAACGAAGATTAAATGTATGTGTTAACAAATGCGTATAAGTCGTTTTTTTTTTTTAAAATCAATTATTTTTTTTCTTTTTAATTCTGTTCTCTTCCAAATAAAACTTAATTTTTCAGTTTTAACAAAAAACTTATTTGTGGGTTAAAAAAATTGAAGAGAAAAGAATTAAAAAAAAATTATATATAGTGTGGTCTCCGTGCACGGAGGATTATTCAATTTTTTTTTTTTACTTTTCCGTTCTCCATTTTCATACGCTATGGCCATGCCTTTTCAAATCAACTCATTTGCTTATATTATTATATTATATATATATTGCAAGAGAGGCAATGTGAATCTATGTAACACGCAACTTTCCATACCTCCCGCCTTACTCCGTGCTGACCACTTTTATAAGTATAAAAAAAAATCACTTTTAGTAAAAAAAAAATTTTTAAAATAAACATATTAACAAAAAATATTTCTAATATATGTAAAAATTACTTATATAAGTAAAAAAAATCGTTTAAAATTATTTAGAAGTAAAAAATTAAATAAAGCTATGAAAATTAAATGAAGAATATATAAATATCATTTAATTAAAATTGAAAATTTTACTTTATAAATAATTATTTTTTTATCAATTTATTTAAATTTCTTTTTAATTCTTTCAAAAAAATTTATTAATTTTTTTTTAATTCTTTTGCCCTGCCAATCTTGAAGTGATTGTTGTATCGTCCGGAGAATAGGCCTGCTATTAGGGTTCTAATTCTTACACCAACAAGGGAGTTGGTCATTTAGTAAATGTCACTTCAAGTTATTTTACGTGCTTTCAATTTACAACTGCATGTGTTATTTTTGAACTATAAGTATAGCCTCTCAAAATGAAGTTGCTAAAGAAAAGGATTTTGCAAAATTCAATTTACAACTTATTGGCAATATCAGATAAAAAAAAATCTCCATCTACATTAAACAAAAAAATACAATAAATAATTAAAAATAAATTATCGTTGACATATATACAATCACAATATTCATTATACTTATTTATAAGAATAAAAATAAATTATCGTGACATAAAATATACAGTCGACCAAAAGATAAGAATCAAACAAACATTTCTTATTTTCAAATACTTTTTGTACAATCTATAAATTTTACGCTAATAAAATCAAAATAAATACAAAATTCGTGTAACGCACAAGACGCAGACTAGTAGTTCATAAAAAATTACAAACAAAATAAAGTTTAAAAACAATCAATCAAAACAAATTAATTGTCCAATTAGCAAACATACTAATATTTACTTAAAACGTATACATTAAGTTTATTCATTCTTTATTTATCGAAGTATTTAAAGCTTAATTATGTAGATATCTTAGTAAGTCCTATTAAATTAAATTATTATTATTATTATTATTTTTGGCTTGTATTCCTTAATGATATTTTAGAGCAAGAACTATTATATATTTTTTGAAATACTTGAACTTGATATTGGTTGTGAGGGTTATATATATCTTCTACAAAGCAGCGAAATTTTTTTCAGGATAATGTGAAATATCTGACACTTATGCCACTATCACGAACATGTTGGAAACATCAAGTTGAAAATGTTAAAGTGATAAGATTTCAATTGCTACAAATAAATGTCGCTTTAGAACACTTGCTAAAAATATGTGATGACCTCAAGGCATTAGAGATACTGAATTTGATTATGACAAATTTACCGCTAAAGAAATTGTTTTTCAAATGAAAGTTGAATATATATTTCATGAAAAACGTATTATTTATAAAAATTAGTACGTTGATGAAATTTCAATGATTAGATAGCACATTCAGCTTAAGAATCTTTTAGACCGATTATTTCTTATATACGTTGATGAGGCTCTTTCTTTACTTAAAATAAGTTTTGAATAATTTAAAAGAAATATGAAAATATTTTTGAATTTTTTGTTTGATTCTAAACAAAATTGAAGAATGAAGATGATATTTCTTTTAAGTGTTGGCGAGACAAGCTTGAATAAAATGATTTTATGAATTTTTGTTTGATTCTAAACAAACTTAAGAAATTATTTTCTAGAAGTGACGAAAAAAACTATTGAAGAGTATATTAAAATGATTGACTATTGTTTTTTAAATGTGTGGATTGTTTGTAGAATAGTATTGACCATATCAGTTATGATTGTGCATGTCGAGAATAGGTTCTCAAAGTGAAGTTGATAAAATCCTACATTTAATTACAATGTCATGAGAAATGTTGAATGTATTGATCATGGTAAGTTTTAAGACAGATTTGATTGTAAGGGTAATTATCGATTTTCTATCAAAAAAATCTAGAAAAATAAATTTTGGGACTTCGCTCGCGCTTAGACCGGCTCGTGTGGTCCGTGTCACAAGCCAAAAAAGGGGCCATCCTATAACGGTCCACTTTTTGCTGGCAATAGCCAATCACAAAACTCGAAAAAAGGAGGAGGATTGTGGACAAAAAAAAAAAAAAACCCCCCGGGGGGCTTTTTTTTTTTTTTTTTTTGGTCAGGCCGTGCATGAGCAACAAGCTTCGGCTCGTTGATACCCTCTACTGATAACAACCATATTCTTGAATTTTCTTAAGATTACTTTCATAAGAAAAATGTTGAAAAAAAATAAGAGAAAAAGTTACCCGAGTATATTTAACCCTGCATGCTGTTAAAAGGATCCAAAAATAAATAAATAAATAAAATGAAATTTCTGGAATTTTTGACGAGTTCCCTCTCTGTAACCATTCTACGTTGTTGACACCTGTTGAAAACTTTCAATACCTCGAAAATTGTTACACATTCGTTAAAAATTTCTAAATCCCGTCTCTCTCTTCTTTTTATCCTCATTTTCTCGGATTCTGCATATTTTTTTAAAGAAGGTGAAAAAAGACGGCACCTTTCTTGGTTTATGTATGAGAAGGGATACAGAAGAGGATCAGGATTGTGTTAAATGAGAGAAACAAATACTCTTGGCTTGTGTTCTGAGAATATGTTGATTTTTGGTGGTGGTGCCGGCGGCGGTGGACGGCCGAGGATTAGTGAGTCGAACGATATACCGGTGGAGCTGTTGTTGAGGATTATTTCTTTGGTGCATGATCCGACGGTGGTTGTGGCTTCTGGGGTCAGGCATGGATGGAGGGATGCAATCTCATGGGGTATCACCCATTTATCACTTTCTTGGTATATACATAGTTAATCTTAGCCGTAAACCCTTTTATATTTTTATGGATTTTTCGTACAATTTTTATTGTTTTTGCTTAACTGTGCCTAAATTAGAGGATATTGATTCTGGGTTTTATTTTAAATTTCTGTTTTATACGATTTAATATTTGTTATATATATATATGAATAATAATTTAGTAAATGAAACTTTGGCATGGTTGTCAAAGTTTGTATGACATTTTGTGAGAAAAAAAAAATCACATTGTCAATTTTTCTGGTAATTAACTCGATGTTTGATTTTTCTCGTTTAGGTGCAAGAAGAACATGAATAATCTGGTTCTATCACTTGTTCCGAATTTCACGATTTTGCAGGTTCTTATTCTACGACAAGATACACCAGAGCTTCAGGATAATGCTGTAGAGACAATTGCAAGTTACTGCCATGACTTGCAAGAACTGGACCTTAGCAAGAGTTTCAGGCTTACAGATCAGTCATTGTATGCCTTAGCACACGGTTGCCTGGATCTTATGAATCTGAATATCAGTGGGTGTTCAGCCTTCAGCGATATGGCTCTGGCATATCTCTCTGGATTTTGCAGAAAATTGAAAATTTTAAATCTTTGTGGATGTGTTAAAGCTGCTACCGATATTGCATTGAAGGTATGAAAACCAGTTATCAACATGTTCAGCAAAGCTTATGTTAGTTTTAATGCACATAATGTTTTTATTGATCCATGTTTGAAATATGGTACTATAATTGTTAGAATATTATAAATTGTATATTATAAACTTGTGTTTCTATTATAAAGTAGAAGACCCAATTTATGGGGCTATAAATAACTCTAAAAGAAAAGATTGTGTGATAATCACACAATCAATTATTAAGGAAAATAATACTACACAATTGGAAAAATATCATAGAAATTATCCTTTACAATCTTTCCATATCTTCAACACCATACCTCAAACTCAGTATGGTGTAGTGACAATCAAATTGAGTTTGAAAATAAAATCAATCCAATCAAATCTTCCTCTTCCAAGTATTAAATGATACATCAAAATTGCTTGTATGTCAACCAAACAAACAACGAACTCAAAGTTGATAAGAATGAAAAATCTATCATCCACCAATCTAACTAAACCATCACCAAAGACTTGTAGTAGAAACCTACAACGATAACGAACAAGGTCAAAACAAAAACCTCAAATGGTTTTAATAACTAGATAGGCAAAGATAGACCATGTTTAATGGTAGTACTCCTAAAATCCAGGGACAGTATCAGTCTTACACTTATAGATAAAGGAATTATTGATGAAATAAGAACCTTGGCACACGAGGAGGCTAAAACAATACAGGAAGACAAAAATAATACGCATGAAGTGTATTATCAATTTATACAAGACAGAAATAACATAAAATTGGGCAACTCATCTATACGAGTAGTAACCGCAGCATTAAACCAAGTATATAGTGTCAAATAAAACATTTTTTTAATCTGCTCTATTCAAGGCGACCCTGACCCAAGGTCTACAAGGCAAAGGCCTAGGGCCTCAACAATTTGTGGGCCTCCCAAAAATAAAAAAATTAAAAAAAGAGAGAAAACTACCCTAAAAGGGCGTCTCTCTCTCCGTGTTTTCCATCTTTTCTTGAAGGTGAATTATTTGGATTCAAAAATCAAAATCTTCTTTCTTGGAGGCCATCTGAATTAGCTGCAGCAATAGTAACGTGTGTTTCAGGGAAGAAATATAGACAATTGACATTGATAGGAGTTAGGACACTATCTGGTTTCATAAGAGTAGAGAAGGGAAGAGTGTTGAAGTGCATTGAACGTATTCAAGATTTGACATCAATTAGTAGTACTTCTTCTTCTTTCATTACTGCAAATATGGCTACTGGCGTTGTTCCATCATCAACGCCCCAAAGTCTAAATGGGGGTGTTGGAGGCTACTAGCTTGAGCTTTAAAAGTGATGAGAGAAATCCAAATACTTCAGATGCCAAGAGGAGACGATTGGACTATATGTGAATATCAATTTTTGTGAAATGGGAGGCTGAATATCAGTTTTGGTGAAATGGGAGACTTTGGTATGAGGTTTCAAAAGTGCCAACATTTAGAGAGGTTAAAAGGAGAACTTGTCAATTACCATATCAATATACATAGATTGGGTGGCTAAAGACAACTTTCAAGTATTCGTGGAAAAATTTCTTTGATGAAAAATAGACAAGAGCCTAGGCTTAGGCTAGAAGAGAAAAAAAAAATGCATTTGGGTTCTTAGTTATAATTAATACCCTGGGATGGGATGGCATTTTATGCATCCTTTCATTAAACCAAAAAACTAGTGCTAAATAAAAAGGTCGAGTTCTCTTCAAAAAGGGGGGGAAAATAAAGAAAAGAAAAATTCTATGCAAGTTCTATTTTTTAGATTGTACAAAAAATTGTGTTCAAGGGCCTCAAAATTCTTAGGGCCAGCCCTGGCTCTATTGTCCGTGTATGATCATCAAAATAGTGGCTTTTTTTCTCCGTCCACACACGCACCAAACAATGCATTTTGGAATAACGTCCCAAACAAGTTTGCTATCACACCTAATCCATGTGTTGAGTTCGACGAAAAAATGACATGATAATTCTTGATTTTCACAAAAATCAACTCTCCAAGAAGGATGCAACAAGATAGCCAACATCTAATAGGATTTAAATTAATCTGAAGTCCAAATTTAGATTAAATCAAGAACGAAAAAAATTCGGTTGAACAGAATATGGATAGAATAAAGAAAGATAATTTGACTTAATGTGAATATTTATTCAAAAACAAGAAAATTTGATCGGGCGAGCAGCCTCATGGACAGAATAAAGAAAAATAATTTGACTAAACATGGATATTTAATCAAAACAAGAAAATTTGACCGAAAGTTAAGCCCTCTTTGTTACCATGTTAAAATAGTATAAATTGTATATAATAAACTTGTGTCTCTATTATAAAGTAGGAGACCATATTTATAGGGTTGTGAATAACTCTAAAAGAAAAGATGTGTGAGAATCACACAATCAACTATTAAGGAAAATATTACTACACAATTGGAAAAATATCATAGAAATTATTTTTTAAAATATTTCCATATCTTCAACAATAGTGATTTTAATAGTTAATTACCTTTTTTTTTTTTTAAATGATCTAATGAAAAAGTAACTTATTCAAACACATCTAGAAAACAAAATATACTTGAAATTAAAAGTTTAGCCAAATTCTAGTTTATTAGTTGTTCTCTGTATACAGTTTGTTAAAACTTCTTTACTTCATTTATACAGGCCATTGGATTCAACTTTAATCAGTTGCAGTCTTTAAATCTGGGATGGTGTGATCACTTTGGTGATGATGGTGTGAAGAGTTTAGCATATGGTTGCCCTGATCTCAGAGCTCTTGACTTGTGCGGCTGTCTTCTTATAACGGGTATTCTCTTCATTTTATTGCATTCATTTTCGTTATACTAAATTGGGGAAAAGTACTTTTCCAATATATAGATTATCCAGCATGAAGATCTATGATATTTATGTTGTACCATCAGTAAAGTTGGCATATTCATTTCATGTGCTCTGCTATGATTGCTTGAGTTCTTAATTTAAAATAATCATTTTCATTGGGTAACAGCAGGGAAAATTTACTAAAAAGAAACAGAACATAAGCACAAAAGACTGTTTAGATGCAAGGTGGCTTGAAGTGGGAAATCCTTTTATTTTGTAATGAATGTTGCACCGTGTCACCTTTGAATTACAAAATTAGATTTGACCTTCTGCATCCTCAAACAATTTTAAGAAAAAACCCTACTTCAAGAAAGACATGTTGAGCTCCTGGAGATGGAGCTTTTACAAATTCGGCTGTAATTTTAATCAGCTGGCTGGATTAGTTCTATGAATTATTGATATTGTAGATGCTATTAGATGTAGAATTATGGCATGACATTTCATTAGTCCTCTTGGTTATTTTCAAGTCGGATAGTGATAGACATACTTCTGATTTTAGTGACTTAAGCCTACCATAGTACCATGTTAATCAGAAAAATGGAATGTGGAGGTGGAAGGTTTGATATTGAGCTTTAAGTTCATATTTGATATGCAATATTTGATAGTACTATACATTACGATGGAGAAGATTTTAGCTTCTTTTTTCTTCTTTAATGATGTTATATCATAGATCATTAGATGCAAAATTTTGAGGCAACTTTATGTTTTGTTCTTAACATGTTAGATAGAATTGATGTATATGTACAATTACTTTTTATTTGGGTTTAAATCTGTGTCCCATGCTAGTTAATGGGCATTTTTTCAGATGAGAGTGTAATTGCACTGGCCAACAATTGCCTTCACCTTAAATCCCTCGATCTATACTACTGTCAGAGCATCACAGATAGAGCAATGTATTCTCTTGCACAAAGTCAATTAAAGAACAAGCACGAAACATGGAACTCTCCGAAGAACATGGATGAGGGGCTCACGAATTTGAACATCAGCCAGTGCACTGCATTGACTCCGCCAGCAGTTCAGGCTCTATGCGACTCATTTCCTGCCCTCCACACTTGCCCTGGCCGGCATTCCCTGATTATAAGTGGCTGTCTGAACTTGATGTCCGTTCATTGTGCCTGTGCTGTCCAAGCACACCGTGCAGCAGTAGTGCTACCTCATCTAGCTCATTGAATAGAGTTTTCGGAAATCTTGAGATTTCCTTTTTCGGCTGGCTGTTTGCCTTGAATGTTTGTTTGCAGTCTATAACCAAGGGAGATTTCTGGTTGGTTGTGCAATCTTTTACTTGTTGAGCCTCAAAAATGCATCATGGGCAACGGTTTGTTTTAATATTTCTATGCCTATTTGCCTAAATCTGCTTGAATTTCTGTAACTGGGATGTTGCATAATTGAATTTATATTCAGCTAGAATCCGAAGAAGACACATGCATCGACTTCTTATAGTACTTTCATTATGCCTTACACTTCAGTATGGTACTTGCTTTTCTTCAACTTGAGCTAAGAAGATGAAGGTGAGAGGAAGGATTAGAGATTGAGTGATTTTGATGAAGATTGTCTTCCTTCTGTAAATGATTTTTAAGGCTTCTAATGTACGTTGAAAACCCTAAAATTTGCATTTCTTCTTCTCTACTCATGGTTATTTTCATCTCTTGCAGAGATGAAACAGATTTTAAAGAAGAAAGTTGTAGCTAGCTTTGAGTTGGAACATATACAGAGAGAGAAGGTTTTGTGGCACTTTTAAAAAAAATAAACTACTTAAAAGACTTATGTAAAACCACCTTAAAAAGAAGTGCTAATAGTAGTCCCACATTTACATAGACATGATAATAGTTTTGAGTCACAAGGGAATTGCGTTACACCCAAGAAGTAAATCTTCTTAAATAGAACTTCTAATTTCAACAAATCATATCATAGCATTCTAACATTGTTCCCATCATAATGGACAAATTACATATTTGTCCTAATGAACCAAACAATCTATCCCTAACACACACAGAGAGAGAGAGAGAGAGAGAGAGAGAGAGAGAGAGAGAGAGAGAGAGAGAGAGATATTGTAAGTAAATTCAATGCTTGAGACCAACAAAACATAATCCTACTTCAGCTTGAGCCTGCGGCTCTTCCAAAGCTTTCACAAGCTTCTCGCGGCCTATTGAAGTTTCCGTTTTCTCCGAGAGGATTTTTCGTAATCTTCAAGAATTAGCTACAAATATAATAGTCAATTAACATGATACAATGTATTAAGCACATGTTTGGTTTAGCTAAAAAAATTGATAAAAATCGGTCAAAATCAATAATTAATTTAAAAACACATATCATGAGATTCACAACTTTTATTAATTTCTTAACCACACATTTCATCTACTATTATCGAAATCTACTAAAAATTTAATTTTCATATATCTACCGTTATCAAAATCAACCACACATATATACGGGCACATGATGTATTCAGCCGAAATCAAGACATTGGGATTGGATTTGTAAATCGATTCATTACCTTCAGCTTTAAGAGAAAAATAAAGAAGATTCTATTCAGGAAAATGCTGTATAAAATCCTTGCAAGATTTCCATGCAAACTGCAGATTGCTTAATTTTTTGTACACATGGTCCAATGAACGCCATTCATTATTTCAAGAGTTCCTCTGTTTTCAAAGAACTCTGAACCGGGAAAAGCATCGCTCCTATTAAAATTAAACGCATACTGAGTTTTAATCACAAAGGCTAAAATCTGAGAAAAAAAGTTGCATTTTCCTGCTCTAACCAAGTTGGATCAGCACATGATGGACCCTTTACACAGATAGCATGTTGAAGATCATATATGAGTGGAATAAAACAACCCTTTAAAGTCCTAATTTAGCTTATATATTTCTTCATGGACGTATTAATGGTTCGTACTAAATTTTTATAAGCATCATAAAGTTAACATCTTGATATATCATGCAACATTTTATTTACATTTTAAGTTTAACGTTAAAGAAAATTAAATAATATCATCTCCGTCACATAAAAATAAGCTTGTTTCTATTTTCACTCATATTTAAAAAATGTATAGTTGATAATATAAAATTTTCTTACAATTTTCATCTTAGACCTACATTAAATAATGGTACTTTTAATAAGGAAAGTGACTTATAATTTGGGACATAGAAAAAAGGAAACCAAACATATCCTTATGGGACGGAGGTAGTATGATGTGGCACTTCTTCACTTGACTTCAAAACATTATACTAGCCAATACAAAATTTGAAGTCCACTCTCATAACCCAAAAAGAAATGAGGAAAAGAAAACGCAAAGAGAGAGTGGAAAACAATCAGTTTATAAAAGCCATACTACTACTTACCTATTCCAACTGCTGTGTCTCCATGTCCAGTGCAGATAATGAGCATGGCATTATGAGGTAGACTATACACTTTTGGCTATACATTTGATACAACTGAGTATCTCCTTTAGTTCTGAGGTGACACTGTATCTGATACTTTTTTACCGGAAGGCTACTCACATGTAAGCAACGATATCATCTGATGACCCAATTGTGTTACCGTATGCTATGGCAATCAAAAGTGTTATTAATGAAAATAAGATACCCGTAACCCATAACATTGACCAATGTATATAGTTTTCTTATTCTCGAGTATTACAATAACTGAATAGTGGGTTGGGGTGGGGGGACTAGTTAATCATGAAGAAGAAAGCAGAAACCAGTAATATGAAGTCCATCTCTCCTTTAACATCCACCAGCGTAACTCTGGTAAGCTCAAAATCCTCTTTTGTAATACACTGGTAAGAAAAACTCAACAAACATAAAATAAAAATTTAGCCCAAAAATAAATAACGTCACATACAAAGTAAGTCTAATGGTAAAAGTACAAGCTGCATTTCCTACAAATGACTTTGTGTTTAACCAGAAAAATAATAAAAGCAATTTCAATATTTTAAACAGTCAATAAAAACATTAAATACAGAAAACAAAAATTATGCAACAATCACACATTGAAAATACCTGCTTCTAAGTAGTCATCCAGGCAAGTACTAACCTTTGAAAGTGTGTTAAACAGCATCAGTATTTCAATTATTTGTTTATTTGACAATTTGAGGGAGAGGGAGATCAGGCATCCATTAATTTTTTATTTTCCTTGTTTTTCATAACAAAGAGAATGAAATTGTTAGCATTTTGTATTTCTATGAAAAGAAAGGCAACAACAGAGATCATATGTAATTAGGACAGGTGATAAATTTGTTACAGGATGTGTAGGATGTTTCCGAAAGCCATGAAGTCGTCTTTGAAATTTTTCTCCAAAAGCTGAGTCACCTACAAAATATATTTTAAAAGAAAGGGTGCAATTTCTTTCCCATCAGATTACCAACATAGCGAGAGCATCGACCCCAAAATGACTTTGATTTCTGAATTTCAAAATCTTTCGATTTCGTACAGACTCTAAAGAAATGCAATCCCTATGTTCAAAAAAGTGTGGCATTGGTGAAGGTGTCAAATAAAATCCAAAGAAAAGGAGGCCAAGAAATCAAGCTTTATCGCAGCTAAGACGACCATGTTGAGAGTTATTTCTCAAAGAAAAACGTAAACCGTAAGAATTTTGAGGAAAATAAGAAAAAGTAAAGATCTCAGAAAGAGTGGATCGTGTTCTAATTAACATACTAACTAACAACTTGTTTGGGAGCGATTTTTCGCCCCAAAAAATTGATTTTTTGACCGTTATTTCACTAATTCAGTCGTCATATTTGACTTCTTCTCTCACAAGTGGACCCCACTTTTCTCCTAACGATCAAAAAATCAATTCTCAAAATCACTCCCACACAGACTCTAAATTACCATTCACTTTCGCGTCATTTTCCACTATAACATTTACAGGGTTAGACGCACGCAGAACCAAACAAAAGAGTCCAATCAAACGGCAGAAAAAGTTAATATAAAAGGGGTAGTCCACTTCTTTGGTTAGCCACGTCTTTCACGGTCAAGAGGAACAACTGTTGGTAATGGTAATATAGAACACCAGAATTTGTCCCGTGCTCGAATTGGTGGAGTAAGTGAGCATAAAAATTTTCGATTACGAGTTTGATTCTCCCTACCAACACTTTTTCGATCGAGTCTGTCGCACCGGCTTGTTTAGTGCAGTTTATTTGGCTGGCGTGATTTGTAGACTATTACGTCAGTTCGAGGGTCTACTCAGTACGCACCCGAAGAGTAATGACTTCGAATTCTCCCTTCATAAAAATATATATATATATATATATATATATATATATAGTGGAAACGAGGTGAGGAAGTGATGGGATGCATCCTATTTTATTGTTGATAAAGTATAATAAAAATCAGAAAACCCTCTTCAAACACAAAGAATATGCACTCAAAAAATACCTACCTGTCATAATGGGTAGAGAAACAAAGAGAAAGGTCAAAGGACTTCCAACTACTTTTTGTGCACGGTAAAATGCTACCATTTTTTTTAGCAGCCTTATTTCAAGTATTCTCCCACACAAAGTTAGGATTAACATCTACATGTACCATCTCACAATCAAGTGCCAACATCTCATCAAGAGGGGTTCCAGAAGGAGCTGGAAGTGTTGATAGAAATACTGCATTATGTCAAAAAATGTGAGGAATTATCTAACCCCTAGCATCATCTGGACAAAGAAATGACATGAAAAAAGCAAAGAAAAACATTTGATGTATAAAAAAAACACCTTGTCGATCATGATATCCACTATCTTCTAGTTCCCAGCATTAAGTGTGTAGTACGTAATTGGGAATGGCAAGTTTTTCACAAGCTCACTAAAGGATGAACTGCTGGAGCCAGCAGAAGTTCCTCTATGATAAATAATTGTGTAAGAGAAATCATTAACATTGTCTATCCAGCAAAACATCAGTCAAAGAGTATCACCAGAATAACTTTCCATATCCATCGAGCATTGCAGGATGTGTAATGGATGAAGAAATCAGAATTTTTCCTTCCTCGTTGTTTCCCTTCTTTTATTTTCTTTTCTATGTGCTAGTTCATACTCTTCAAAATTTGATAAATGACGTTTCGTTAAAGAAGAATCTGATTCGTGTTTGTGTGAACTCCACTTTAGTGGCAGCTTACTAAGTTTCAGCCTTAAATATTAGTTTCTCTTATAATTTCTTTATAAAATGCAAGTAAAACTTTCACATTACGTTGTCTATGAATGCTACCAAACCTTGAGTAGATTCCTGGGAAATTTTCTTTTGAATAAGTTTCCCTTGGTCCCTTTTTCTTTTAACTCTGCTTGTAAGAAGTACATCTACGGTCTGATTTCCATCTGATAGCTATCACAAAAAATAAAATAAAATAAAGGAACCATTGCTTCTATAGTAACAAAAAGACATCATAGAGTTCACATATTAATACAGGAAGTGTACTAATTATTACCAACCTGAGAGCTAAAACTGCCCGTGGAATTCCACAGCATTCTTTAAAACTGTTCGGCATTTTAGACTGACAAATACAATGCAGCGTCAAGTCCAGGGATATATAACATAACCATCTTTGAGATCAGGGGCATGTTCTGCACATCAGAACAACAATGATTCAGCACAAATTTAAATAAATTCACTACAGTTGGGTCTTGAGCATATTTATAAAAGAAATAGGCTGCTATTTTTTTTATTTTTTTTTTCAGTTCTTATGTACCTACAAGATAATTGTTGGAATTCGATAAATGAAGTTTGTTGCAGAATTTTAGGATAAAGATGTTTTAAATTTGAGTTTTATCTCTTCCTGATTCTTAGTTATCACTTGCTGATTCTTAGCTTATTTTGTTTCACTGCTCTTATATAAATGAGTGAGCAGAGATTGTAAATATAAAATAGAAAATATCAATCATTTTCTTATCTTCAATTATATTACCAATTTATTTAACATGGTATCAGAGCAAATCCCGGAAAAACCTCTTTGAAACATTTTTCATATTAAGCCCATAAAAACCAATGGCTACATGAACAAATATTGAGGCCACTCTTTCCATGGACGCTGCTAACCCGTTTCATCTTCATCCCTCAGATCATCCTGGAGCTAGCCTTGTCACCAAACTCCTTAATGGAGATAATTATGCAACCTGGAACAGATCCATCAGTATTGCCTTAAGTGCAAAGAATAAAACAGGTTTCGTGGACGGATCTATCGAGAGACCTCTAGAGACTGATACAAATTTTGCCGTGGACGGATCTATCGAGAGACCTCTAGAGACTGATACAAATTTTGCTAGTTGGAAACGATGCAACGACATGGTGCTTTCTTGGATATTTTACTCTATTGATCCAAGCATCACAGAGAATGTGATTTATATGGAGCTCGCTTCATCGGTATGGATGGACCTAAAGGAGCGATTTTCACATAGCAATGCGCCAAGAATCTTCTAGCTGCAAAGGGAGATAGCATCACTTCAACAAAACACTCTCTCAGTGACCCAATACTATTCCAAGCTCAAGGAGCTTTGGGACGAGTTAGGAACTTGCAATGAACCAATGGCATGCACATGTGAAGCAAATGGCAAGATTGCAGAAAGGGAACAAGCCAGCAAGATAATGCAGTTTTTGATGGGACTGAATGATAGTTAATCTGCAATTCATGGACAGATATTGTTGTTGCAGCCTCTACCCTCCATTGGTAAAATCTATGCCATGGTTTTACAAGAAGAGAAGCAAAGGGATTTGACAGTTACCAAAGAGATCATGATAGTCGAAGGAGCTAAGCAAGGATGCGATCAAAGGCTGAAAAACAAACTCCAATGCTGCAGTCATTGTAAGAAAACAAATCATGACATCGATCGTTGTTTTTTTCTACATGGTTTTCCTTCCAACAACAAACCAAACAAGAGAGGGGAGAAAACTACAATGAAAGGTAATAAACCACGGGCCAACAACATGCACACTGAAACCCCTGCCCTGACTAGTGAGCAATATCAACAACTTATAAGCCTTTTGAGAAAAGAAAATGAAGAACCACAAGTTAATGCAGCAGGTCAGTTATCATCTTCACATCATACGGCCCAAACTAATAAAGGGATTATTGATACAGGAGCTACAGACCACATCACCGGCCAGCCTGATTTGTTGCAAGAAAAGACAGAAACACGGCATTCGAATGTTTGCTTACCAAATGGCCACAAAGCTCTAATCAGTTGTTCAGGATCTGTTCATATTAATAAAGATACAAAAGTCACCGATGTCCTACATGTTCCCAGCTTCCATGTCAATCCTTTGTCTATCAGCAAGTTGACAAAGTTTCAGAATTGCTCTCTAACTTTCTATCCAACTTTTTGTGTTATGCAGGATTTGGAATCGAAGAAGATGATTGGTTTGGGAAAGCTTGCTAATGGACTCTATTACCTCACCACAGAACCAAAACCAACCATGCAAATGAAGCCTAGAATCAACCACGTTACAAGCACCTTGTGGCACCAAAGGCTGGGAACCCATCAATTCATCCTTTGAAACATCTTAGTAGTTCTGTTTTAGACATTTCTTTTGATTCAAATAATGTTTGTGAAATCTGTCATCCAGCAAAGCAAACTCGTTTACCATTTGGGAATAGTTCAATAAAAACAAAAGCACCTTTTGATCTTGTTTATTGTGACATATGGGGAGCATTTAAAATATCTTCTCTTTCTGGTGCCCTTTATTTTTTGACAATAGTGGATGATTTCTCAAGACACACTTGAGTTTATTTAATGCGTCATAAACATGATACTCAAGGAATCTTAAAATATTTTTTCCTCGTGTCAAAATCAAATTTCATACATCTGTCAAAAACTTTAGAGCAGACAATGGTAGGGAGTTCACTTCCATGCTTGATTTTTTCAATAGCCAAGGCATCTTGTTTGAACATAGCTGTACTTATGCACCCCGACAAAATGGTGTCACTAAGCATAAACATCGACATCTCCTAAACTTAGCTCGTGCCTTCCGTTTTCAAGCACATTTACCTTAGCATTTTTGGGGAGAAAGTGTATTAACTGCAGTTTATCTTATCAATACAGCCCTGAGTCCCCTTCTCAAAAATAAGACACCCTATGAGCTGCTCTATAACCAAAGACATACATACCACCATCTTCGAGTCTTTGGCTGCCTCTGTTATGCCACTCAAGTCCACATTGAACATAAATTTGACCATCGAGCCAAGAAGTGCATTTTCCTTGGGTAACCTTCAGGACAAAAGGCTTATAGAGTTTGGGATTTACATACAAATAAATTGTTCATTAGCAGGGATGTCATTTTTTATGAGTCTATTTTTCCCTATGACAAGCATGATACTCATAACCAATCAAATAACGATCCGTTACTACCTAAAATAATCTATGAAGAAGATACTTCCATGATAAACCCAACACCTGCACCTACTACTCTCCCAAAATCTGATCCATTGCCATGTACTTGAATCCAACATTGATCTTACATTTCCTCAATCTCAACCTGATCTATCCAAAATCAGACGATCCACACGAATCCGTCAACCTTCCACGTGGCTTCGTGACTATCATTACAGCAACTATGCCAACCAATCATCCACTTTGTTTCCAAGTCCTCAGAGAAGAACCAGGTACCCTCTTGCTAATTACATTTCATATGCTAATTTATCATCTTCACATCAGAATTTGCTTCAGTCCATTTATAGAAGTATTGAGCCTGTCTCATATCAACAAGTTGTTTCTGATCCTCAATGGGTGGAGGCAATGAAATTGGAAATTAAAGCATTAGAAGACAATGGCACTTGGACCTACACAACTCTTCTTGCTGAAAAAAAGCCCATTGGATGCAAATGGGTTTATAAAATCAAACATAATTTTGATGGCACCATTGAGCAAAACAAAGCTCGTCTTGTTGCAAAAGGATATGCGCAAGTAGAAGGTCTGGATTACAATGAAACTTTTGCGCCAGTTGCAAAGTTAGTCACAGTTCGCTGCCTACTAGCTGCAGCTGCTGCAAAAGACTGGACATTACATCAACTTGATCCTTCTTGCATGGGGACCTTTCTGAAGAAATCTACATGCTTCCACCACCAAGTTTCAATCGACAGGGGGAGAACCATATGGTGTGTCGACTTCATAAGTCCTTACACGGACTCAAACAAGCATCCAGAAGTTGGTATTCCAAGTTTTCTCATACAATTTGCAATAGTGGCTTTGTTCATTCACGAGCAGATTATTCTTTCTTCACCAGGACGAAGGGCAACTCATCTACTGTTGTCTTGATTTACGTAGATGACATGATCATCACAGGAAACGATCTGGATGCTATAGAAGAGTTAAAAGTTTTTCTGAACTCTCAATTTAAGATAAAAAGATCTTGGAAAGCTTAAGTACTTCCTTGGGATTGAAGTGGCACATTCAAAGAAAGGCATAAGCATTTCACAGAGAAAATATACTCTTGATCTGCTTGATGAAACGGGACTTCTAGGAGCAGCACCTGTGTCAACACCAATGGAGCATAACCTAAAGCTCTCACAGGATCATGGAGAACCACTTAAAAATTGCTCCAAGTATCGAAAACTCATTGGGAAACTTATATACTTGACCATTTCAAGACCGGACATACAATTTTTAGTTCATTATCTTAGCCAATTCTTGAGCCAACCCAGGAAGCCTCACTGTGACGCGATAATTCGAATTCTTAAATATTTAAAAGGATCCCCAGGGCAAGGGTTATTCCTACCAGCACAGAATGATTTCAAGCTAACAGCTTACTGCGATGCAGATTGTGGAGGATGTCAGACAACTAGACGATCTATTACAAGGTATTGTGTGTTCATTGGAAAGTCACTAGTCTCATGGAAGACGAAGAAACAAACTACCGTATCATGTTCTTCGACCGTAGCAGAGTATAGGGCAATGGCAGCAGTGACCTATGAACTTACATGGCTGAGGTATGTGTTCAAGGACTTGGGAATTAAAATAAGTCTACCTGCCAAACTTCACTGCAATAACAAAGCTGCTCTACACATAGCAGCAAATCCTGTCTTCCACGAAAGGACCAAACACATAGAGATGGATTGTCATGTCGTGAGAGGCAAGATCAAGCTGAAGCGATTAACAATGGCATTTACTACTTCACAAACTCAAGTTGCTGACTTGTTTACTAAACCACTGGGCAAGAACTCCTTTCGATTTCATCTCAGCAAGTTGGGCATTCATGATATTCATGTTCCAATTTGAGGGGAAGTGTTGGAATTCGATAAATGAAGTTTGTTGCAGAATTTTAGGATAAAGATGTTGTTTTAAATTTGAGTTTTATATCTTCCTGATTCTTAGTTATCACTTACTGGATTCTTAGCTTATTTTGTTTCGCTGCTCTGATATAAATGAGTGAGCAGAGATTGTAAATATGAAATAGAAAATATCCATCATTTTCGTATCTTCAATTATATTACCAAGTTATTTAACAATAATTAAACACGTCACGTCTTTCATGACAACTTTTCAACCATACATATCAAAAACTTACACAATCTATTAAAAAATCTAATTTTAATCCCCACCAAATATCCTCTTTGTCTCTAATCATGATTTTTACTCAAATATTCTACTAACCTACATTGAAAAAATGAGCAATTTTTTTTTTTTTTACTTTTGTATTAATTATTTAAAAATACAAGAGATAAATACGTATTTTTGGCTCTCAGAATAAATATTTTGAATGAAAATTGTCTCTATAGATAAGATGTGAAAATTAATTGAGGAATGATGATAAAAAAAGTTTAAAAATTTTGAACATATTTGTTAAAAAAAGTTTACGGATATTCGTTGTAATTAAAATGTGGCGTTGTTAAAAAAAAATTGTAGTGTGAATATATTTTCCTTAAAACACTTTTAGTGTAAAATCAAAAGTTTTTCCTACTTTTGAACCACATTCTTAATATATATATATATACACAATGTTCAAAAACTCATTCTTTCCCAAAAAAATAATAATAACAATTACTATCAAATGAGGTCCGAATATTATCTTTATGATGTCCAGTATTAAAAATAAGATAGATTCTTCGAGATCTAGTCGTTATGTTCACATTGACATCTTTGGATGTGCCGATATAGGGATTTAGTTGCCACAAAGAAAATAGGTAATTAACTCATAAATAGTTAAAAGATTGAAGAAAAGAATGACCTTTTATCAAACTAATCAGAGCTGAACGTGCATTATACATTTTTTTTTTGAAATATTTTATAAGTGTTATAAAAGTAATATTTGATACTAATTTGTTGGAGAATTTAATCTATAATATATTAAAACATCACACATTAAGGGAGAATCATTTTTTGGACAATTTCAACTCCCATAATTCAATTATTTCAATAATAACTTACTTTTCATTTTTCAATATATAATAATACTACAAAATTATTGTCATTTATGAAATTTGTATTATTAATTCTCAATTAATTATCATTTATATTAATTTAGATTCAATGAATTTTTCACATGATGAATCTTGAATTACATGAATCTAGAGTTATTATAAATGAATTTATTCATATTCAGGTATATGAAAATTCCAATCGGGAACTTGTCCCAAAACCGGGTCAATCATGTCCGATTAACCGCTTATGACTAAACCGCTTAAAAACCCATCGAACCGATCGGTTTAACCGTAAACTGGTTGCCATTTTGTAGTTTTACCTTTTTTTTATTTAAAAAATTCAAACTTAATGAATGGGCTTCATAAACAATGATTAAAAGGTCCATAGAGAAATATTGGATAACATGCTCCTTTTATAGATGCAACTATCTCAAATGATTTTATATACTTTCAATGTGGGATAATAGCATAAAAAAATGTTAACAAATTATAAAATAATGAATCTAATTAACAAATTATTAATATAATTTTTATTTAAAAAAATATTGTTTTCATAGTATTTTATTATTTTTGTATGTATCTATTGCATCCGGTTCGACCCCGATTGAACCTTTGACCCTTGACCCTTCACATTTTTCGGGTCTATATTCAAATCATTGGAAAATTTTAATGGTTGTTTAAATTTATGTATTAACAATTAATTTTTATGTATCAAATATAATATAAAAAAAAGCTCATTTATAGTATTTCATCATTACAAAAAATTTGAATTATAGAAATTGAGTTTTGAAAGCACAATTTTAGTACAATTTTTTTCTTTTAAATTTCTATGTTAAATTTTATTTTCTTTAATTCACCCAAAACTCAAATTCACTAACAAATTGGTATCAAATATTACTTTTACACCACTTATAAAGTATTTTAGAATAATGTGCAATACATGTTAAACTTTGACTAATGAATCTCAAATGAACTAAAGAAAATAAAATTTATGATAAAAATTTAAGAGAAGAGAATTGTACTCTCAAAACTTAACTTTTATGATTCAAATTTTTTGTGTTAATAAAATACAGAAATTGAGCAACATTTTTATACTATTTGGTACATAAGAATTAATTGATAATACATGAATTTAAATTTCCATTGAACTTTTTGGAAACATGAATAGAAATAAATTCATCTATAATAACTCTTGATTCATGTAGATCAAGATTAATTGAGTCTAAATTAATGTTAACATTAATTAATTGAGAATTAATAACATGAAATTCATACATGCTAGGGATTTTGTAGTACTTATTACATATTGAAAAACGAAAAGTAAAGTATTATTGAAATAATTGAATTGTAGTAGGGATAAAATCGTCAAAAAATGATTATCACTTGATGTGATATTTAAAATATTATAGATTAAACTTAAAATAAATAATTAAACTGGATCATTTACCTCATCAATTGATTCCGTTTATCTTCCTTCAGAACAAAATTCTTAGGATTCGTTTGATTGTAAAGATGAAATTTGGATATAAAATTTGATTGCATAGAAATTATTTTACTGGGAATTGTCAATTATTTTGTTTGATTGGTATAATTTTCTACGTGAAAAATGTTAAAATAAAAGTATTTTTTTGTGTTCGTTTGAATTTATTTTACATGAAAATTGTCTATTTAAGAGATAAAATTTACTGGTATTGACGATAGAATTTGTTTCTGTCGCCAAAAAAAATAAAATAAAAATAAATAAATAAATAAATAAATAAATATATATATATATATATATATATATCATCTATTTGAATTTGTTTTACATGAAAATTGTTAATTAAAGGAAAATATTTCTTTACAGTTAGGGATAGAATTTGTTTCCAACCAATAAAATTGTTCATTTCCAAGAAAAACCAAGAAAACGAATTCCGTGAAAAATGAAAGTTATTAAACAGTCAAAAAGATGGAAAATAGAATTACATTTTCTAGCTCCATGAAAAATTGTTGCTATTAAACAAGACCTTAATTTTTATATTCATTATTAATCATAAATTCACATAATAAAAGATTTTGTACGTAAATCAAAATTTTTTACACTTTTTAATTGCACATTTTTTATAAAATCACATTCAAAATATCATTTAAAAATTTTTTTTTTTTAAACAATGGCCATCAAATAGGGATAAGTTACTTGTCACTATAATTTTTTTAAGCAATTGCAAAACGTAGTCCATTTCCCTTCTAGAAGCTGCCGCTTCTATTTATAATCGACTCAATTGCAGTTGTAAATCCGCCAATTCAAAACATTTAGAAAAACATAGATGTCGAAGACTCTGGTGCAGCCGATTGGGCAGAAAAGATTGACAAACGTGGCAGTTGTTCGCCTCAAGAAACAGGGAATCCGCTTCGAAATCGCTTGCTACAAGAATAAAGTCCTCTCGTGGCGCTCCGGCGTGTAAGTTTTTTATATTCTGATGTACATTTTTTCTGTCTTCAGCTCCGTATTTGTGTTATAGTCGTGTAAATTTGACCCTAATATATGGAGTTTTGGAAAACCCAGGTCTAATTTTTTTTCAAGTTTCCTCTAATTATAATTTTATGCTATGATTAGGGCGAGTTCTATTTGTATGTGTGAATTAGTCCCGAAATTTTGATCTTAATATTTGGATATTGGGTCAAATCCAGTTCTAAAAAATGTCAATTTGCTCTATTTTTTATTAAAACGTCTGATTAACATACTGTTTATTATGAAATAGTTAAACTTATCACAATTCTTTCTGTCGTATATGTAGATTATGAAATCCCTTTTTCTTTGGTAATGGTAATCTCTTGTTGCTTTGATTCTAATTTATGAGTAACAACTAGTTAGGTTGATTGTGATGGTTTAGTCATGAAATGTTGGTTTAAAATATGGCTTCCTGCGAGTCCAGTTCCATTTTAAGTTGATTTTCGTCTAATTTTTATTCCCGCTTCTTGTTTCTGTGCTGCAAGAATGGAATGATGATTGTATAAGTAATAATTCAATGAAAACGTATTTTTTAACACAAATTATATCATTTAATAATTAGTTATGCCTAATTTGGTATTTTCAGTGGTTTCTGTTTGATCATAAGCTCAATGTAAGAATTGAAATAAATTTGTTGGTGAGATTTTGCAACAGGGAGAAAGACTTGGATGAAGTGTTGCAGTCGCATACTGTTTATTCAAATGTTTCGAAAGGGGTTCTTGCCAAGTCAAAAGATTTAGTGAAAGCTTTTGGGACAGATAATCAGGAGAATATATGCTTGGAGGTCAGTAAATATCAATTTTATTTATTTATTTATTTTTATGCTTCATGATGCATTTTTCAGATTTAATTAAGACTTACTTTGATGTTTTTGTGAATATAGGATGTAGTTCATCTTTCTGAAACAAGTAATCTGTATCTCTATAAATAAAGCACCCAAAGCATGCATCTGTGTTAACGTATTCTCCTTTAAAGAGGGAACCCTGTCATCTAATTTGCAATTGCAGATTTTGGATAAAGGAGAGCTACAAGTTGCAGGGAAGGAAAGGGAGTCACAGTTATCAAGTCAGTTTAGGGATATTGCTACTATGGTCATGCAGAAGACCATCAACCCTGAAACACATCGTCCTTATACAATAAGCATGATTGAGAGGCTAATGCATGAAATTCATTTTGCAGTTGATCCACATAGTAGTTCAAAGAAACAGGTATGTACAGGTAATACATTATAACTGGATTTGAAAATTCTTTTTCCTGTCTAATTCTTTATGTGGACTATACTGCTGTTATAACATGCATTTTCTGAAAATAAATTTTCCTTAGAAGTTAAATTAGTTTTCTAATTAACCTTGATTTAGCCCTCTGTGAACTTTATTTTAATTTGCTTCTTGACTTCAACAATAAAATACTTCTGAATCAGGACCAACTTTTGTAGTTAACATCTTTTTGCATCTCACCGCTTGACACATGAACCGTATGCTTGGATTTTTAATTAACCTTGCATCTGGGTTCTGGACTTAAACTCGTTGGCATTTCTTTTGAACATTTAATAATTGATATTATTTTGATAACTCTGCAGGCATTAGATGTCATTCGTGAGCTCCAAAAGCACTTCCCCATCAAACGGTCCCCCATGAGGCTACGACTTACTGTACCCGAACAGAACACCTCATCACTCTTTGAAAAGATTAATAATTGGAATGCTAGCATTTCTTCAAGAGAAGAATCTGGAAGTCAGCTCTCTCTCGTAAGTCTTTGAGATCTCAACCTACAAATACTAAATTTGTGGATCTGCTTGATAAGATGATTGATTGCATTTACCCTCTAGTTTACAGTGAGAAGTATGATAATTTCTTCAAGAATTGATTTTCACCTAAAAATGTGTTCATTGGGTTTAATTCCATTCAAGCATTTTTTTTCATGGAACGTTTGTCTCGAGTTAGGTTATTCAACTAACAATAATCTTTTGAAGGGTAAGATAGAATTTTATACAGATTTTCGTAATCAAAGGAAGAGTTAGATAAATTGTTCCATTGCCTTTGATTGAGTGGGCGTTAGGCTTATCCTATAACTAGAACTGTTTAAAACCCTGCATCAAAATTTGTTTAAGGACTGTTGTTTTTTGTACATTTAAGTTGATCCCATCTCAAACTTGATTACAACCACTTCCTCCCTCATCTTCCCTGAGCAGAGCTTGTATCCTTCTACTACCACCAATTCCAACCATCAAATTTCCGTTCCTACAACCCCCTCTGTTCCCATCTGATACCAAGACACAAACCCTTCCTACACTCCACTGCCTTTATCTCATTTAGTCCACCCTATTTCAACCCTCTGAATGCCTCCTTATACTTCACCAAGCTCCCACTCTGAATCCCCCTTCACTCACACATGCTCAGAAAATAAAAACTTTGGCGACACCACAATAACCATCTCAAACTGTACTGTTCAATTGACCATCAAGTCTATTCCCAATGGTACTTGATCAACTCCCCCTTCCCCTCACCTTTTTCATGATGTCGCTAAATGCTGTACGCACATTTGTTTACCTATGATTCATTTTGCTAATTGCTTCACATATTAATAGAAATACAAGCACACCTTTATTCTTATTCCCACGTCTTATTGGTGTTGTGTCCTGTATTTTAAAATATGCAGTGAATTAACCCATTTATTTTCGTGTATGTGCATATGGATCTATGAATATGTTACAGTAGGTAAGCAACTTTGGCTCAACTCTTTTTGTGTTACCTTCTAATTTGGCTAATTCCTTACTATAGTTTGATATAGGAATTGGCTGTTTACTGTTGCTGATACATGAACCATTTTTTTCAAGTCCTTATTCCTCTTCCTTGGAGCTTAAACTGTTGTGTTATGACACAGATTTGTGAACTGGACCCAAGCATGTTCCGCAATTGTGATGCTTTGATGAGGAATCTGCAGGGGAGATTAGAAATTCTTGCAGTCAATGTCCACGTTGATAGCGACACCCAGGTGGATAATTATGATGACCATGAAGACGAACCATCCACCGTTCACAAGGATCCTGTGGGTCCTGTTGTTCAACTGAGTGAGAAATTGCAGAAGCAGGGAATTCAAGCCAAAAATGGGATTTCTCAGGCAGAGGCAAAGCAGAACCAATGCAGCACGTGCAATGCTTCAATAGGCAATGCAAAAGAATACAGAGAGCACTTCAAGAGCGATTGGCATAAGCATAATTTAAGGAGAAAGACGAGGCAACTCCCTCCCCTTACTGCAGAAGAATGCATGGCTGATATGGAACTAGGTGACTCGAAGGCTGATCTGAAGGAATACTCATTTTGAGATGGCAACAAATTTCGTACAACTTTGCTCAAGATATGATGGAAATAGCAGCGTATTGGACTAATGCTGAGGAATTTTCCGAGTTTTGCCATCACAAATTTAGAAATTTTTTGCAGTTGTGTGAAAATATTTTCATTCTGTAGAGCTCTATATTGGTAGTTTTGGTCTTATAAACATTCATTTACTCGTTTTCAAGGTGTGTAACGTATGGCAATATGGTTCATAGTGATGTTTCTATGCATTATTTACCCTTTTTTGTATTATCAGCCTATCAGCATCATTATTAATGACAGGTATATTGTGGGAAATATATTTTATGTAGGGAAAAGTACGAGAAACATCATTATGGGAAAATTGCACCATTTTCTCCCAACGTGGATGGTCTCTCTCTCCAACAATCGATGTGTATAGTCTCTGCACGTTCAATTTTATAAGTTTTAGATTTTATTTTAGTCATGGAATGGTGGTAAAAAATTCTACGGGAGACGTGTAACAATTTAAAAAAGACTTCTACAGATTTTGTATTATAGATTGAATGTGTGTCCATGGTTAAAAAAATGTTTCTGATAAACTCCTTTTCAAAGGTTAGGAACAATGTCCAATTGGAGCAGTACTTAGGAGATCAATTGTGTGAATTTTCCAATTCATGTTTATGGGTGAGAGTTCGAAGTTAGTGGCCGCTTATAAATAGTTGTAGAGTCTAAGGCAATGCCTAACAATTGCTGAATTAAAGCCATTTGGCAACTTTCTAAAAAGTCAAGCTGCCTATAAAGCTGAAAAACTACCATCGAAGCTGTTTAAATAGTTTGCTAAAATAACTTCCTCGGGAAGCTTTTTTACAAGAATTAGAAAGTAAACACGAAAACCTACCAAGCGAGCCCTATATAAACTTTTTAATGTCAACTAAATCAGTGTTGAATGAATTCTTTGCAACACAGGTATGTTCCAATGGAGGCAGAGACTCAAACTCAGTTTACAAATACCTCATGGAAAGCTATAATAGCAAGCACAGATTGAGCCGATTACGGTATCCGAGCCACTCATGGCGTGCCTACCAAAATTGCTATGGCTCGTTCAAGGTGGACTGTACAGTATTCAAAGGGGTACTAAAGAAGAAAAAGAAACTAAATCTTCTCTATTATCCCTACCTAAACTACATAACAAACATGCCATAGGTAAGGAGCTGTCACAAACCAGGCAAATTCAAGTTAGTTAAAAAAAAATGAAACTTAAGATGTAACATTGCAAATCATGAAAAACTATGCTATATATTTTCCTTTCCTACGAATCAGTACAACTGCAGAGTGGAGAAGAGAGCGGTTATCCTTCTACCATTATGCACTTCAATATTCCAGAAGACTAAAAGCTCTTGAATGCACAAGTAGCTGCAACCCAAGAGAATGGTGACCTTATCAGGGAGACGTCTTCCAATCAAATTGAAAGTTATTGAAACCATTAACTGCCTCAAGACCACCAAGCAGTTGATTTCCTAGATCCTGCTGCTGCTGGTTAGCAAGATCTCGTGCCATTGTCATGTCCCCTTCTCTTCCATTCATAGAGTTACTACCCACTGCAGCTCGAATCCCATTGGCCATGGCAGATTGGCCAATTCCGTTGCCTGTGTTCCTAAACACTCCACCTATACCTGGATTACCATTGGCCACTCCGTTTCTTGTACCAGCATTGTTGCTTGTTGACAACATTCCATTAATATTTTTCACATCACTACTCATAGTCCTAATGCCCGTCATGCCACCCCCACTAAACTGGTTCGACATCAAGTCCTGTATAATTTTCTGAACAGAGCTTTGTGAACCATTTGCATCTGCATTCACGGAAAGAGTTGGCTGCTGCATTAAGATATTTGAGGAGTTTGCAGAATGCGTGTGAGCTCCATGTGAAGTCTGCTGTGGATTGTTAGATGAGGATGGCGTTGGTGATTGGAAGGGAGGACTAGGGTGAGGCTTAGGCTGAGTATTTGAAGAACCCGGGGATGGCATTTGAACAGTATTTCCTCCGAAGGGACTGTTTGCATTAGATGTCAGGTTTTGTTGTCTAGAATTTGGGTGATGAAGCCCAACAGTTGTACTAGTAGAGGAATTTCCGGGAGCCATGTTCAGACTGTCGTTAACACCTGGAATGTTACTGCCAGTAATAAGTTGCACTGAAGCAGCCTGGACAGTGCTATCAGTGTTTGAGGTCGGTACCATTACTTGCCGCTGCTGCTGTGATTGTTGCAACTGACCTTGAAAACTCCCAGGTGAAGTATTTGTTCGCCGAGGAATCTTGGCCAAGCTCTCTGAAAGAAAAACCATTATCATGATGTTTAATTGACATTAGAAATCTAGAAACAATTGTCACAATCAAGATTGGAGGCCAAAACTCTTGAAGCTCTAATAACGAAAAGATAGATTTGTATTTTACAGAATATATTATACCGTGAATCATGTATAGAGTTGAGAGGAAACCTTCAGGGTTTTATGATTTAGCAACTCAGCTCTGGGTAAGGAAGAGGGACAGGAAGCCACCCATCCACGCACAGTTCCTTGGTTTCTGGGTGAAAAGGTCAAATAGATTCCTTATTTCATTTCTAACTATTATACTAAACCCAAATTATACTTTTGAGTTGCCTTCTTAGCAGGAAAGTCTAAATCATGGCGCTAATGGGAATGCCACCATATGCTCATCTCAAGAACAGATAATGAACCTTTTAACACCCAGTTTAGCAGGAAAAATATCTAAACTTTAGATGTTATCTTTTGTGTCATAAATAGACAATTTAAAGCCCTCCTCTCGCGCATTCAACAGAGTTGGTCGATGTCATGATGCCCCAAGTCATTTACACACGGATGAATAGCTTGGAATTATCTTACAATGATATGTTGTTAAACAAAGTCGTAACTCAATTTTACTATTTTTTTGAAGATCAAGCCAAGTGAGAAAGACAGAAGAGGAAGCAAAAGAAGATAATAAATTCTGGTTCCAAAACGAGCACAATCTTCATTGTTTTATACTCATAATGCATGTTAAACATTGTCCAAAATCCAGCATCAACTTGGATCAAATAAAAATTAGATGTGCAGTCCTGAGCCACTGCATCTTTATCATTAACGTTTCAGAGATTGTCAATGAAATGCTTAAGTCAACACAATTATGTTTATTTATGCTAAAGTCAGGCATATAGATGGTCAAATATACTCAATAAGACTTGCTGCCCCTCAATGTGAAAAGCTCTCGTTATATAGAACCAAAATAAAATTAAATATAGAAAAAGCAATCTATCTATATATGATACAATTATAATGATATAATCGTAATCTTCAACGATCTCCGTAATCTTATTCAATCTCATTTATATCCCCCCCTCAACTTGATGCTGCTAAAAATGTTGGTAAAAGCATCAATTTGCAATCATAAATTGACGGTAATGACAATACTCGTGCCCATGAAGAAATCCAAATCAAAGCAACCGTCTACGGAAAATAGTGACGACGAGGGACCAAGAACAACAAATAATGCAAAAACGCCCAAGAATCACTCTAAAACCACTTCAGAGAGCTTACTTCCTAAGAAGAATTTCCAAAAGAAATTCACGAAGTGTGCCTACCATACACAATGAATTCTATGAATTCAATCAAACACATAGTTCGTGTTGTGACAAAAATTCTAATGGCCAAAAAAGTAATATATAGCTGGCCAAGATGCAGCAATTGGAAGAAATTTTACAGAACAACCTACACCAAAAATCCAAAAATGATCATCACCCGAGCGACCAAAACTCAACGGTCTGCACTCCTATGTCTCTATCCTCGATCAAAAACGAAAATCATTATTTTTTTCGTCTCTCTTATCTCTCGGCATTCTCATGCTCACCCTAAACAAAATATTAATAATAATAAAATACCATTATTCTGCCAATACACCTATGAAGCATCACAAAAAGGGAAAAACTAGCTAAAGCCCAGCAAATCCATTCCCCAATTCCAAAACATAACATAGCATGTTAACCTAAGAGGCCCACTCCAATAAATCAGCCCACAATAAATCAAACCTAGCCCAACTAGCTACACAAAAGAACAGCTCACTCAAATCCACAATAAGGCCCACGATCCACTGAAGCTGAAGGCACAAGGACCTCATGAATGAAGAGCGAGATTGGAGAATTCAACTCAACCTCCACCAGCCCATATAAATCAAACCACAATCAATAGCACAATAAATCAGCCCAATAAGGCCATAATACCCATAACGAAAAAATACCTTAATACACGATTTACCAAATCAACCAACTCATCACTAGCCCAACCCAAATACACTATTACTTGGCCCAATCTTTATCTACTGCAGCCCTATCTCACAGACGCCATCCCACATTCATCACCCCACACAACCAAATATTGATTTTGGCAGCATCATAACCTTTCCATGCCAAAATCTCAATGCCAAATATGCCGGGGTCCCACAGAAGTGTGGAAAAGGCCATCCTGCTTTATCTGTTCAGATATAGCACCGAGTCTAAAATTAGAAACATTAAAATTCCCATCTTCATCCAATAAAATATTCTCCCACTTCAAATCTCGATGATACACCCCTCGGGCATGGCAAAACGCCGACTGTTGGAAATCTTTCCTCGCCACCTCTTCTTTGAGCCTGCATTTTGCAGCCTTTTAAAACAATTCACAGCCTTTTACATACTCCATAACGAAAAAAAATTTTATTTAGTTGCCACAACCTCAAACAATTGTACAACACTCGGATGCCGAACTCTCCGCAATATCGAGATCTCATGTTTTATGTGCGCTATAACCTCGATCGCCACGTTTTCGGCCGTTGTAACATTCCTGGCATGGTAAACCTTCACAAACATCCCATGACCCAACAATTTCCCAATTTCATACCCCCCTTCTAACAACCCCTAGATTTCTCTGTTTTGCACTTCTTGCTGTCGTTGGTGCAGAGGCATCCATGGATTCAAGTTTTTTCCAAAATCAAAAATTTCAACTTTAAATTCTAAAAAGAAAAGGTCCTATTTTGCGAGTGGCGTTCTGCCATGAGCGGGTCGCAGCTTCTAGGGTTGAGTGGGTGGTTAAGGTTTTTGTGTGGTCCATCTGAAAAGAAAATCGAAAGAAAAAACAAAATTACTAGTCGGACAAGCAACACAAAGCTGCTCACCGAGAAGGAAATTCAAAGGTTAATTTGTTTAGGATCGTAACTGCTCTGATACCATGTCAAATATTCTCAATAAGACTCGATGTCTTTCGATGTAAGAGATTCTCTCATTATATAGAATCAAAATCAATTAAATACAATAAAAGAAATCTATCTATATATGGTACAATTATAATGATAATATAGTCATAATTTTTGACGATTTCCATAATCTTATTTAATCTCATTGATATAAATCATGTTCTTCCATTCAGATCCCTCAAGGGCCATTCCTCCACAGTCCACAAAGAATCTTATGCTTTCTAATCACCTCATTCCATTTCATCTTTGTCCTCCTTATAAAGATTCATGCAATTATATCTCACAGCCTAAATGTCTCATCAAGTGGTTTGTCCAGACCATCTTAATCTCCTTTCTCCTTTCTCATTTATCTTTTGCTGTTATACTTGCACCATTTCATGGTTATATTCATTTCTCATTCTCCATCTCTTTGCCACAGATCCATCTCAACATTTTCATCCTGCTGCATAACATTGGAAGATGGCAACATATAGCCGATACTACTGTTCTATTTCCTTTCTTTTAGAGTTGCAATTGATGTAGAGCTTAAAAACTTTGCTAAACTCTTCCAGTTTAAATTGTCTTTTTACGATAAATCAATATAATGGATCCAAAGAAGAAATCCATAAAATATTAAGCTTACCCATAGGACCAGCGCCAGTTTCACGGCTATGATCAATCAAATCTTTCATGCTATTTACCACTTCAGATATCTGCAATGTTGAGAAAAGAAATATCAGGCAAACAGTCATCCACGAACACTGATAACTAAATGATCGTAGCAATAATGCATAATCTCATCTGAATCACACGATATACCAGTGATCAGAGAATTTAGAAGGTTGCATCTAGGATCACTCTCTTCCCCCATTTAACACAATATACAATAGAACTAATTACACATCTAGCAATTTGACATGAAATAACAATTCATAGGTTTTTCCATCTCTAATGAGCTCCGGACACCGCATCTCGTTTTCTAATTGTTCAAGGAATTGGAAAATAACTCTTAATGTAGAAAAAAATTGCCACTTTTTTTTTTCATGTACAAGTATGCAACAGATAATACATATGTAACCGTATGCAGACAGACATTTGCTACGCACAAATACAAACTTATAGCATCAACTGCAACCATACCATATATGATGGCACCAATAATAAGTATTGTTGATTGGAAAAAGGTCACATAATTAGTTACCTGATCAGCTCCTGAATTCGTAATGATACAATTACAAAGCTGACACCAAAGTTCGCTAAGCAATTCTATAAGGTACACAGATCATAGAACTACAGGTAACCCTGCAACCTACCTGGCTACCTTGTGGCAGATCATAAAATTTTTAATTGACTCAATATTTCCATACAACCTCTAGCATCAATAACTGTTAAAAATTTTCTTCCTATAAATTCTCTCTTTAAACAGAATCAAATCATGGTCCATGCTTATTGTGGTATAAAAAATGGATAACATTCAAAAAGGAAGATAGTAAGCACTAAGCAAGAGCATGTGTTCCTTCTGTTAATTAGATTTTTATGGGGTGGTGGAGTTTCTTTTGATGTTATCAACAATTAGACAGACCCGTGACTTCAGAAAACTCAGAAACTTGCGCCTTCTGGTCTCATTTTCCTTGCGCATCAACCTATAGACAAAATGTTCTTTGCTCAAACTATCTGAAGCGCAAAAGATCAATTGGCATTTGAGTCTAGATTACATCATCAAGTTTAACATGCCAAAGTAACTAGTCGCTTGGCAGCAATATGAAATTAGCTTGTACTTGTTCAAAATGGTCTTGAACCATAGAAAAAGCTGTAGACTAGTCGATGGAGATCTGATTAGAGACATTATATGAAGACTGTCCAAGTTCAGACTCAATAGGGTTTAGTTTTATATATTATATTAAATATGTTATTTGTTTCCTACTTAAATTACACTCTGTAAACCATAAATAGCGAGGGCTAATACTTTGTTTTAGTTACACTTTAACAATGAATAAAAACACAGATCTCTCCCCCTAATAATTCTCTCTCCTCACTCCCCCATTCCTCGTGTGTTGCTCTCTATCCCTCCCCACTTCTCCTCGTCCCCTTTCTTCTATATATTCCCTCCTTTTCTTATCTCCTCTTCTATAATTCTGGTTATTGTTAGGTTGAATCCATCATCACTAGTACATTAAGAGAACAAAAGCCAAGAATTAAAGGCGGGGAAATAAATGAAAATGCAATGATAAATAGTACTTTCTTTTTATCTTCACATGCTTATTTCAAATCTCCCACAATGAGATGGTGCTAACAGGACGTCCAATTCCTGAAAGGAGAATTTGTTAATGTGATGCATAAAGCCCGTTACCTGTAGGCATCGAACATATCGCTTTGTACATCCCAAATCGTGCACCAACGGAACTTCCAAAGCTTTTGCCAACTGTCGAGCTGATGCAACAAACCTACGAATTAAAAATTATAGGTAAATAATCATGATAATGTTTGATAAATGTGATGCCTTGAATAATTAAGCCTACATTTACATTATATATAAATTGAGCATGTACGTTATAGATCAATCAAGTGAAATTTATTTTAATGGGGATCAATTCATTTAAAGTAATCAGCGCCTATGGATCCCTATTCCCAACTATTGAGCAATTTTCAAAAAGGCTTAATCGGGCACCAAGGCATTTTGCCAATGTAGAACAAGGCGTAAGCCTCAAGTCGTTTTGAGCCTTGAGATAGACTAATAAATAATTCAAAAGAATATACAAGTACAAAAATATACTCATTTTATATCATACGCAATCTTAAAATATCCATATTAAAATAAACAAAATGAAAAGTTTAGCTTGCAAACAAACATAAATATATCAATGAAAGAAAAGAAAACAGCCAAAGAAGATAAGGCGAGTAATAGAATGTGCGAAAAATGCAAGACAAATAGGCAAACAATGTAGTCATTATGCCCCCACAAATGGCACTTACGGGGCGGAATTTGAGGTATTTTATGAAAGCCTCAAGTGAGGCAGGATTTGAGGTACAGGCACCAAATAGTTTTTCCTAAATAATGACATTGAGAATAAAAATAGATATTTTCTGTAATCAAGATAATGTTTAATATGTATAATGACTTGAATAAGCAGGTGTATATGTATGTTATGTAGCAATCAAGTGAATTTTGTTTTAATGCGAATCAATTCAATAAAAGAAATTAGTGCATATTATCCCTATACCCGAATATTACATTAATATTGAGAAAAAAAAAATAGAAATGCGGTGTCCAAATACTTTCTAGTTTTAGTTATTTCCTAAATTCTCCTCCCACACAAGCATAAAAAGTTAATAACAACTGAGATAGAGAAAAACGGCACAACAGAATTTATGCCCACATAACATTACCAAGAAACCCAAAAATCCCCTCTTTAACTATAAATTGGTAATAGCGTCCCAAAGAGTCCTACATAAGAATGTTAAAATCTGATGTTTCAAGGATTGGCACCTTGAAATTGGAACTCGTGAAATTTTTATTCAAATCTGACTGGAAGCTTCCAAGGCCATGATCCCAAATAAATGCCTAATATGGGACATTTTTTCTAACGATCTCTCTAGTGTATTTGTCAACGAAATGCAAAAGATAGATAATCGATCAGGTGGCATGATCTCCATAATCTAAGAAGCACTGGCACGGACATGACACGACACGTCGACCCGCGATTTTTTGAAATTTTTTTTAACTATTTCTTTGTTAAAGAACAATCTAATAAAATTTTAACTATTTCTTTGTTAAAGAATAAAGTTGGTAGGAAAAAAATGTAAATTACATGTAAACCAAAAAAAGAAATTTTACAGGTGCATCCAACAATTTAAAAATTACGCTGGTTTACGTATTGCCTTTTCATTTATTTTTCACTTTCCACTGACTTTTCATTTATTTCGTACAGTAGTCTTTTCATTTCTTCTTTCTCTTCCTTCTTTCTTCTGGACTTTTTCTTCCAAGCCTCCCATCTATTTTTCTTACTGATTTCTTCAACCCATCTGCCTTTTCTCGTCTCCGCACGCCTCAAGGAACTCCGACAAGCATCAGCAACGTGTCAGAGGCATACCGGTGTCCGACACATGTTGGACACCGACATGTTCAAGCCAGCAGCATGTCCGTGCTTCAAAGTCCATAACAGACTTCAATTTTACCCGCTGACATTTACACGAATTCTCGCTAGTCTAGAGGAAAAATATAAAATCATTCAGAGTTGCAAAAATAAATGGTTTAGTTAGTTTATCTTCCCTAGCATGCCAAATAGCATCATATAATAACAAGGTTCTTGTCCCATATCTGTTAATTGCAATTGACACACATGTAATTGTGGTCCTTCATGAGTCACTGATCCATTTAATCCAAAAGCTGTATAAATAACTACTGACTTATCATCATTACCAACATTCATGTCTATTGAGAAGCAAAAGGAGAAATTGTTGAAGCCCTTTTATTGGAGTTGAAGTTTAATCACAAATGAAGCCTAGAACTAACAACATTCTTTTTGGAAAATGAGCTTGTCTCAAGCACATATTAGTTAGTAGTTATGTCTATTATCCATTTTAAGTGTTTTTACATGGTTCACAGAAAAATATAATATGACTATAACAATATATTTCACAAAGATGTAAAAGGCTGTATACACATACAAGAGAACACATAATCTGCGTAATTAAATGGAAGAATAATATCAATTGGATCCTAGAGCAGCGTCAGCAGTCAGCAGTGATCCACCTAAGACAACATAGGCCAACGGGCCAGGCTTTATTCAAGCCTATTCTTTCTTTTCTTATGAAATTGATGGTGTCAGGACTCCAGGGACTTCTAAGTTTAAAATCTCGAACCTCATAGGTGCAAAACTTCTTCCCTTACTTATGTTCAATTGAAGCAGAAAAAAATGAATCCCAGTAGTTCAGTATCTTTCCTTATTATCTGAGCATTGGCAAGAATGGAAAGGTAAGACAGGTCTCATATCCATTTCAATAATTCCTTACTTTCGTGCTTATATGTCTATACACTTACAATGTTAGTAAACCTAAATATTTTCTAATAGATTATACATAGAAAGTAAGTACATACGAATACTTTTATAAAACTGCATTTTAACAAGTTAACCATTATAAAGCATCAGTACATTCATCCTGCCATTGCTATATCACCTGGAGTAGGTCTTTTTGATAACCGAATAGCACAAGTCCAGCCTATTGATAATATAAATGTACATATTTACTGTACATATGCATATATGAAGCTCTATTACAAGTCTTGTGTAAACAACACATTAAACTCACATGTTGCAGTTATTTTGTAATTCAGAAACAGATGCATTTGATGATCCATTCTGGGTTGCAGCCTGGTATTTTTGGGCAGCAGCACCAAGTTGGCTAACCTGCATCGCATGTCAACATTTTGAGAGATGATTACATTACCATGTTGAACGCGTGAATGGAAGTGTACCGCATGGTACACAGTGGTAAACTGGAAGCAAACATATTAACAATATAGAAAACCTGAAACCATAAAGCAGCATTGGGCACATACAAATAAAAACCTGGAGACCACAGAAATGTAACTCAAAGATTGCCCAGACTGGCAGACAGAAGTGAATAAGGTCATGTACAAGATGATGTTACAGAAACTAAGATGGAAAATATAGACAACTAGATCAAGATTTCCACACGATAACTACAATTAACTGACACGTTATATATTCTCTTAGATGACCTACTTCCAGTTTTATCCGTGTTTATCCCAATATAAAAATTTTGGAAGATTGTGAAGCAAAGAATGGAACAAGAGTAAATACAATGTGCATTACCAATGGCAAGAAACAATTACAATATCATCTTCTTAGTTCCATAAAATCACTTCAGTGTAAAAATGAGAGTCTTTCAAACTATAACGTTTGTTGATCTACCACCAGAAGAAACTTCAAATAAGAACATATCAGTAGTATACTGAACATTTATACAGTTTACAAAATATCAGAGCTAACTTACAAATTGGGGAAAATAAGATCACCTTGTCACCCACAAGAATTTTAAAGCATAAAATGTGTCTCCCGGCCTTGATTACACTCTTGAAATGACATGCATAATAATTGTACACGGATTTATAACAGTGGTCAGATTCAAAGTCTAACCTGTGGTATGAGCGATCTTCTAGGAATAAGCTCGTCATGACGCCGAGCACAGAACTCCCAGGAGCATATCTGCCAAAGCAGACTTGTAAACAAAATATTAGGCCCATAGGACTAAAGCAACTGTAGGAAAAAAAGGGTTATAGTGTAACCTTAAGGTCTGGAGAGAACACAATTCGAAGTTGACCATCGCGAACAACACGAAGTTGCTCAAAGACACTCTCTTGGGTGGCTTTTGAATAATCTAATACAATTTGTCCAGAAGAATTCTGATACTCCCTGGGCATATCGACATAAAGTAGCTCTTCCAAAGTACCACTTTCATATTTTATCTTGAAAAGTCTAGGCAAAACCTCGACAGTAGCCTCTGAAAAAACACATTAGCAAACATCAAGCCCTGAATTAATTCAATTCACTTGTTTACCTCTTGTCATTCATCCTTTCTCTTTTCTGTTTGCTTCTGGTTTTCTTTCTTTATTTTTCTTCTTTTTAATGGATGGGCAAGGATTAGTGTTGACAGTGGGTGGGATAGTTTAAACAAGCCGAAATAGAAAATCTCAGCAAAGAACACATCAAGAGCAATTCAATTCCAAACGTCCCCATAAAGCAATATAATTGTAAATAGATCACTACAAAATACAAGCTAACGCACATCCGGAGAAGAATTTATAATATCTCAAAATCGAGCAGGAATCATACCAAATCCGCGGCCGGGCTTGCGATTGCATATTTCACAGTGCCAAACATCCTGCATACATGTCAACAATGATTAAACAGAACATCAAACAAACATAAACTGTGAGATAAACAATAAATTGGAGAACTACAAATGATCTACTACATTTGCCTTAGAAATTATTATATTATTGTTAAAAGTACCGATAGTAGCATAACTAGAAAAGTACAGTCCAGGCAGAAGTCGAAACATTATCCTGCCTACAGTACAACAGACCTGAGGAAAAACTCCAGCAGCTTGACGGCCACTTCCATACATGGAAACACACCATTTTTTCTTGGCATTGGGAGCAAAATACTCGGCAACAAATTTTCTCCAGAACTCAATATTATTGTCCTACAAAATGAGGTTTCCATAATTGCTGTTCGTGAACTCATACAAAATCTATCCAATAAAAGACTGTATCATAACTTCCTTTTTCCTGAAAAGTGAATAACTCAACTAAAATAAAATCTTACTCCAGGTCTGTGTTGTTGCTGATACATATAATGCGTCAATCGCCGGGCACACATCCCGGGCTCATATACTGGTTTTACAGGAGATCTACTCAGCAAATTTGGTTGAAATTGTGATTGTAATGCAGGTCTTTGTTGAGGCATAGCCTTCAACAGTTGCTGTTGTTGCTGATGTTGGAATTGCATTAGCTTCTGTTGATGCAAGATCTGAGCAGCTGCAGCTGCCTGAGGAGACTGTCTGGACAGGAGGAGCTGATGTTGCTGTTGCTGCTGCTGCTGCTGCTGCTGCTGCTGTAAAAACAATGACTGTTCCGAATGTTGGGGTTCCATCTTGACAGGTGGCATGCTTCTGATACCGTGCATCTGCTGTGGCTCCAATTTTACAATACCAAGATTCCGTAAAGTTTGCAACTGCTGTGGTGTTTGATCATTCATCACTTGTTGCTCCAGCTTAACAGTTCCTACGCCTCCTAGCCCAGCTCGCATCTTTTGAAATTGCTGCTGCTGTTGTTGGGAGTTGCTGGGAGCAGAAAACTGCTGCAACTGATGCTGATTCTGTTGAAAATTTTGAGGATCAAATTGTTGGGCTTGTTGCGGTTGCTGATCCATCAACATCTGATTACCAGAAGGGGTTGCATATTGTTGTTGCCCTTGAACTTGACCAGTTGAACTTTGGTTGGCTGTTATAGAAGAAGATGTATATGATGAGGAAGGAGGATTAAATCCCACTCCATTTCCAACATTGGAAAGTGGATCAGGCGCAGCCCCACCAACAACATTTCCCTGTTGTGAGCTCCCCAGTCCAGAGAGCCCAGAACTTAGACCCCCATCACCAAAAGACTGATGGAGTAATGAAGAAACATTAGGCACATTTCCAAGCATGTTAATGCTGTTAAACTGGGTGTGTGGCACTAATTGAGATGAAGATGAATTCTGGGAAGGCATCCCACCCCCCTGACCACTCAACAAACCCGAATTAGAACGCAATAGCGAAGGCTGAACAGGCCGGGTTCCTCCACCAAGCGGAGTTGGAGGCCCTCGTGGCACCATTTTTTGCCCAAAAAACACAGTACAGGACTTAGACACTTGTTAACAATAATCTTAACCCTCCACCTCTGTAGATTGTAACTGCAAAATAATACAAAATGACAATAATTCGACGGAATCCTAAGTAAAAAATCTTTCAAAGATTTCTTCTACACCAAAACAAATGGAGAAGCCCCACACCTAAACCAAAGGATTTTTCTCATCGCATCGAACAGAACTGAAATAAAAGAAAAAAACTTTGGCTCCGGACATCCTACTTCTTTCAGCTAACTTACTACCTGTGGCCGCCTCTGCGTCATTCTCTGCAAAAGTAGTCAGTTTCAAGTCAAAATTCTCTTTAAAATTAGAGAGAATAATAACCCCGAAAACAAAAAAGCAAAGAAGCAAAACAACACAGAACGTCTACTACGCTAAAAAGGCATGAACAATATAATTAAGAAACATAAAATCCCTATTTTTTGACATTTTATAACCTAAAAATCAGATTTTTAGCCTACCTAAAAACAGAAAAATTAAAGCTTCAGAACAACAAAAGTAATTTAAAAAAAAAAAAAAAAAAAACCAAAAACCTTCAACGGTGATTTCTTACGATTCTGAAAGCAATAATAATTCGTGATGTTAAAAAAGAAGAAAAGAAACTCGATCGAGCCCTAAAACTTGTATACAAGGCAAAAAACTTGATCTAAAGCTCAAAAAAACAACATAAATCCAGAGCTTCGCTCCCATTACACTTATAAACACACACGTATACTGAAATATTAAAACAAATGATAAAATAGTTGCAAGAGGAACTGGTAAAAAGGACAAAAAAATTGTAAAAATTTGAGAAGAGTATAGACTTACCAAAGTAGGATTTGAAAAGTGGACTCTCTTAAAGTTACCGGAAGTTGAAATTGACAACAATTTTAAGCAGTCATTACTCCTTTCTTCTTCTTATTTATCATTAATTAGTCTAATTTAATTCAATCAAACCCAAATCAAGGATCGAGATACAGTAGGTTTCACGTATATGTATACGTATACTCGTCAAAGTCTTTCTCAAAATCCTAATTATAGAGAGAGAAGGAGAGTGAGTTTCTTGAGTTCATTGGCTGTACTTTTTCAGAGAATTTGGGTTGGGGTTGGGGGATTATATAGCGGACGTGAAAAAAAGTATTGAATCGGACTAAATTTTTTGACGAATTTAGTTTAGAAGGACCTCCTTTTTTTTTTTTTTTTTTTTTTAGGACCTTAACTTACGGTATGTTTGATAAGGGTTATTTCCATGGAACCCAAATTGTAGTCTTTGATAGCTCATTTTTTTCATGGAATTTCATTTTTATTTTTTTGTCTTGAAAATAGTTATTTTATTGGTTTTCCTTGATAGCACATTTTTTTCATGGAATTTCATTTTTTTAGTGTTTGTTTGGTACATATTTTAAATCAATTAAAATCAATTTTTTTTGTCGTTATTTCACAATTTCAGCCGTCATTTTTTAATTCTTCTCTTACAAATATGACCTCTTTATCTTTGAAAATTAAAAAATTAATTATCAAAATTCCTACTGAACAAGTACTTAAACGTGAATCCTAAAAGAAGCCTTGAATTATATGAACTACTTTTAACTAATTGACTAAAAAAGACTTGCTTCCTGTTACAAAATAGGGAGAAAATATAAGAAAATAAAGAAAAGTCAACAAATTTATATATTTTATTAGAGCTACTAGATATACGAAAGTCGTAGTGACTAGGATTATAGGAGTATAAAAATCACTCATAAATACTATTATATTGTAGCGTTCCCTTTGAATGACTATTTACATAATAACCATCACATTTGAACCTTGTTTGTCAACAAATGAAAAAAGTACGAATAATTTGGAGTGATAAATTGCCGTCTCTTTAAAGTATGTCAAAAAAAACTCAGTGTGACAAAACTTGATCGAAGGAAAAATAGTACAACTTTTGTATCAAGCGATCCATGTCTTGTATGTCAATATTTTTAATATTGATATCTTGTACGTTAGTCTTCAAAAAAAATCAGAAGGACAAAACTTGATGACTGTAGTAAATATCTTTTAGGTTATGGACATTCATTACACAAAAAATATGCTTATTTAAAACATTATTAAGAAAAATCCTGTAAAAAAAAATCCTAATGAAGGAAAAAATAGTACATTTAGCCCATATTTGGTATTGATTTAAATTAGATTTTAATCTAAGTCAAATCAAACAATCAATATTAACCACGTATTTCGTAGATTCCACAACTTTTCATCACGTATTTCAAAAACTTCTATCAAAATCTACAAAAAATTTAATATTAGTCCTCACAAGGGATTTATAATTTTGAGTACGCTATAAAAGTTGTCTCATTAAGAACCTTACTAAGAAAATCCAATAGAACAAAACATTGGTCGAGGATAAATAGTACAATGCATACTTACTCCCCTCACGATAATATCATGTAAATTATGCTTCAAACATAATAAATCCTTCAAGGATAATATTAAGCCCTCGTTTGGCCTCCATTTTTTGAAATGAAAAATATGTAAAATGGTTTTTTTTTTTTTATGGCCCCGTTTGAACCATATTAATATAAAAACGAGAATGAAAAATATAGTCGTTACCAATCCCATACAAGAGATAGATTTTCAAATATGATAATTTAATGTGATGAATAACGATTATATTTTTCATTTTAATGAGTAAATAATGAAAGACAAACATGGGCTAAATGAGTAGTTTAAAAAGAATAAGAAGTTTTCGATTTAAAAATAATATTATTTTGTGAAAGATTGTGCGGTTAAAAATAAGATAAAGAAAAATGGAATGGAATGGACTATAATGGGACTAAACGAGGGCTAATAGTCATGCCAGATGAGTTGACTATCACGTATTTCAAATTTCATGTATTATCAATATAACATAATATAAACTTGTGATTTACATATTACAACCTCATTTTCCTCATTTCCTTTTTCGCATAAGTATATATCTTTAAATTTTTGGAATATAGGTCTAGAAACTTTAGATTTATCTGGTAAATTCAATTTAGGATTGCGTATTTTTTGATTAATCATTACTTCGATTGATGTATTTCGATTCGATTCCTCACTATATAATGCAATACATCACGTGCAAAAGTGTTGTCAACATTTTGTTCATTTCCAATTCTCTGTCTTTTGTATAATGATACAACTTATTGAGATATCTCACTTTTTGACATATTAGGTATCTGGAACCATAGTTATCAGATCCGATCCGATCATTGACTCGATTAAGTCAACGGATCACCAGGTTACTAGTTCAATTGGTGGATCAATGGTTCAACCGTTAGGTCATTGTTTATTCATATATTCGAAGAAGAAATATTTTTTAAGTAAAAATTTTATATTTTTAAAGTTATTTTTATAAAAATGTTGTATACTTATTTATCTTATTATTACTATAAATTACTAAAATTTTATCAATTATGAAATTTTTTTTAAAAAACCAATAAAAATTATATATACCTAAAAAAAGTTGATAAAAATAAAACTCTTAAGCTTCTATGTAGATATATGTTTACTAATCCTCAAAATTAGCAAAAGTTAAAATGGCATTGTGGCTAGCAAGAGTATCTACTGTAAAGTTTGTACAGGTTCGAATCCAAACACTTGAAAATTTTTGTACATGTTATATAGTGTTGCAATATGGGCTTGGTCGGTTTGGGCTGATCTATGGATTTTATTAAAACGGTTGGTTCAGACGGTTTTTGATTGATTTTATTGGTTCTTGACCGGTTCATATGCTTTTCGATCAAAATGTGCAAATCAGCCCAACTCTCTATCCGGTTTGTTGGGATCTAGGCCGAGCCGATTTTAATATCTATGATTGAACCTCTTTTGAAATTTTATAATTTGTTATGTCTAAATACTCATCAAAAATATATTCTTTCTTAATTGGACGATCTTTACTAATTGCTCCATTTTCGTTTTGAAATTTTTTATATTAGAATCTAATTTCGTCACACTTCAAGTCCGCCATAAATATATCGAATATGATGTTAACAAATTATCCTCTTGGAGCATTAAAATTGATGTGTGAAATATTGTTGATCTCAATGTATTTAAATATATTATCTTTCGAACTTCTAGTTCGAATTTTTTAATGAGGATTTAAATAATGATACATTTGTACGTTATTTCCAACTTCTTAATTCCTCTCTCCCATGCTGAGAAAATTGCGCATTGTAAATGTATCGTCCATTTGAGGAAAAAAAATCAAACTAAGTATTTCTTCTCGACATTTTTTACTTTTCATTTTAGTACATTGTGATGGATTAATTTTACATATATTACAGTATTGAAATAATTTGATAAAAAAAATTAGATTGTGACCATAAGCCAAGTTATAACTGGAAGAACTGTGATATTGGCATGATGCGTAATAACATTTCCTAAATAAAAAGAAAAGTTCTTTCTCAATTGAATTAATTGGAGTCGTTTGACAAGTAATAATGTTAACTCATTTATCGAAATTTCAATTAACACTTATTAAAATATTGAGATTTATGATCACCATTATTAATAAGACATACCGTCTTAGTTGTATAATGTGAAAATTATGCTCATAATTTTAGCATAATTTCGTAAACTTCAGGTTGTGAACACAGTACACCATACAATCATCTAATATTTGTATCAAAACTATTAGATACAAATAATAGCTAGGTGGTCAACGTGGAGACGATGGGATCTCACTTATCACCATAATTAAATTACAAGAATAAAGGGAATTCAACCCCTATTTTAGCTAGTGGCTAGTGATCAATTTTCGTGAAAGAGAACAAACATCATACATGATTTCATTTGATTGAAAAACTTCTAGTTCTTCATTGAATATCCATTTTGATTCTTTTAATTTTGCATCGTTAATTCAATGATGGTCCAACTGGTAATACTAGAATAAAATTATTTTTGGGTCAACGAACTTCAGGTTTATGATATGCATTGTATCGGATAACTTTAAAAATAAGCAAATTTAAATTTACTAGAATAAAGTGTATCTTCAATATTTAATTTTTGTATTATTTGATAAAATAGTATAAGCTCTTTTGAAATCTTCAACGATATTCAATGCATCTGATATTATATTAACATTATTTTTTACTAATGTTTATTCATAAAATACTTCTTGTCTTGAACAGTACACGTAATTGCATTATCAACTAAACAGATATCTAGATAATATATCTTAAATCTTATTAGTATTTCAAAATTTATGTTTTTTTCTAAAACAATTAGGAGCAATAAATTAAATTCTTCTTGAATATTAATAAAATAAGAAATTAGTTCCTTTAAAAATTATAACACAGTTTGAGTCGTTCAATTTGTGTTTCTTTGACAACACAACAAGATACATATTATTTTGGACGTATGTTATTTTGAGAGCATGTTATATTTTATTATTGTTTCTTCAATAGTAATATATCAATATTTTTATGGAATATTGGAATCATAGTGCCATGCTCTCTAATAGCAAAAACAATTTAAAATAAGAATTTGCTCTTGAGGAATAAAAAAACACAATTTTTAATTATACTCTCCAAGAGAAAGTAAAATATAATTAGAATATGAATAATAATGTGCTACTTCAGGAGCAACAACAAATTATTATTTAAAAACATTTACTTTTCATGAGTATATATTCTATGAGAATATAATATTTATAGAGTTATACTTTTTCAGGAGTAATATGTCAATATTTTTTTAAAATATTGAAAAACATAATTTATGCTTTTTAGGAGCAAATAATATTCTTTCAAAATATTAATTATAATGTTGTACTACTTTAATAACGTCCAGAGGCTTGTCACTTTGGCTTTCCCCATCAATTTAAGGTTTAAAAATGAGTATCCACAAGTATTTAATCAGGTTAAAAATATTAATTACTATACAAACAGAATATGATATAAAAATTAATTACTAAATAGATAGGATATGAATTTGTATGCAAAATTAATTACCAAACATGCATTAGGACAGATATGCATTAAAAAAGGTAAAATGTAATAATCATGGATCATGTTTATAAAACTTAGCATTTAACTTTGGTAGAGAATCAGAAACCACAGACATTTGTTATATAAACATCGGCTAAAACCAAAGAAGCCATACAGCGGACTAGCATTTAATTGTTTATAAAAAAAAAAAAATATTGCAGCTACAGAAAATTGATTTGGCAAAATAGATTACAAATAAAAAAATATTTTACACGCATTGATTGCCACATAATTGATTACAATAAACAAGTATATTAGGGTTGCATAAATTAATTGTCACAGAATTATGGAGGCGGAATACGAAAATGCATATATAAAAAATTCATACGCCACCAAATTAAATTCGGTAACCATGACAGATGATTATGCTTATAAAAATTACTACCTTTCCAATTAATTCAGTTCCATTTTGAGAGATTCATGCTTTCCTTACAAGAAATTGCGTTTTTTTTTCTTTTTTACCTAAATGTGGTTGGAGATTTCAAAATAGAACGAAGAATTTTGCTAATTCGAATTGCTAGAATTTCATGCTGATAACACATTATAAAATAGAGAGAAAAGAGAAAAAAAAAATACAGAAAATTCAATAAACTTATTGTTTTATTAAGATCCAAAGCCCCATATTTATAGGGAAGAATTAGGGTAATAACAATCATAATGACTAGAGCTATAAGAGTATAAAAGTTATTTATAAATACTATTATATTTATAACACTTCCAAGTTTTTTTTAGTACTCGCTATGGAAAAAACTCTACTTAGAAATGAATTCATGTTTTGATAAAAAAAATACTTGCTTAAAGTTGATCACGAGTCAATGCTATTTTAGTACAATAAAGTTATACTTGAATACTGGACTGTAGTCATTTCATCTTCTCGCTCTCCTTGCACCCACAACGTGGTCCCTATCACCTATCCCATCTAAACTGCATCACCTAATGCTCGCACTATGTCTTTTCCTTCTTCTCTTGATGCATTATGTGCTATCCTCTTCTCCCTTGCACTTCCCTCCCCCTCCACCTATTGCACTATGTTGCTCTTCTTGCCCCTCTCCCAAGCGCAATATGTATTTCTATCTTTTTGTGTTTGGCTTCTTTTGCGTAGTCGTTTTTGTTTTCTTTCTTTTTTGGGTCATCATAGTCGGTCAATGAGTTAAAAAAAAAAAAAAAGAGGCACAGAATGATTTTGATCAAATTGGGGGTCGTCTTGACCAAATGAGTGTCCATTTAATAATAAAATGTGTATTTTTTAAAAAACTGTTAGCATATTTGTTATTGTTCGAACGTAGGATTCATAATTTTTAATCACTTTTCACCACCCACATCCAATTTGGACTCATGCACCATAATCGTCAAAAATGGAAGTTACCAAACATAAACTAAGATCATCCTCCCCCACCACCCCATGATTGAAGCCAAGGCAAGAATGCGGTGAAAGGTGTTTAGCAATCTGGATCGAATGTTTTCTCTATCTCTAAAAGGGTTCGACTTGAAGGATCCCTTCCCAAGAATGCCACGTCAAATTCTCTCCTTTCTCACATTGCTTTTTGTTACTTGAATGAATTGGAAATAGAATTTATTTATTCATCGATGCATGTATGTTGTACGTGGATTTTGGCATGTTATGTGCACATGCGTGTCCTATCAACATATTCAAAATTTTTTATTTTTCTATTTTTTGAAATCTATGTTTGGGATATTTTGCCATCGTCTATACAAACAGACAAGCCTTATTTTAATATATATTTAATTCATTTACATATATTATTGTTAAAAGATTTTAGTATTACAAGTATAGTAAGAAAATAATTTTAGACTAATATATTACCAGATAATATATATTTTAAAACTTGGTGAATTTACTATTTTTTCTTGCAACAAAAACAAAATAATGAATAATGAATCTATAGAGAAAAAATAGGAATCGTTGTAAAATTTATCAATTAATAAATTTTTTTTCAATTAATTTATTTTTTAGTAAAACATATCAATTTTAAGCTAATTTATGATTAAAAAATATAAAATTTAAAGTTGGTAAAAAAAAGAAAAAGAAAAAGAAATCATTGTATATCTCCACCAATCGTATCGAAATCATTCATACATAATAAGTCATTGTCGCTCATATCATCTATGTACTTACCATAATCATTTATAAAAATACTCCAACAAATATAAATACCAAAATCAATATTGATTAAAATAAAACTAGTAGTAAATATTGAGAATTACAAAGTTCATAGTCAATATATAAAAAGAACACAATCCTACATTATAAGCTCAAAATACTCAGTCCGACTAATTAGGCAAATCAAAGAAGTTCTAAGATAGGTCCTCTCCTAATTTTTGGCATCTTTATAAATGTTATCCTGAAAACTGCATCCTTAAAAGCTTTTATTGCTTTCATATAAACCTCGTTGGACACTCCTTCCATGTTGTTTAAGATGTTGAAACACACCATATTTGAATAAGGATCTGGACTAATGACTTCACTAGTGCCCTTGTGATTAGATGATTTTTCTTGAATGTGCGCAAGCTTTTCTCTAAGGTATAGCATCCTTATTTCTGTTTCCTCATTCCTCATACTAACAGTAGATGACCATTGAGCCATACATTTCTCAAGTTTTTCTCTTTTATTGATTTTAGGTTCCTTATGTCGATGTTTGTTAGGTGGAGTATCATCACGTTGACGAATATTTGAAACTTCATCGTCATCATTCTCCACATGTACATGCACTCCCCTGCTCAAAAACTCATCTTCTACCCGTCTTTCTTCCTCTGAAGTTGGAGGAAGCTAACTAGAAACATGGCCCAGACTTTCAGTAACTGTAGTCCCGCTAAAATCTCTCCAAGCAATTCGTAATGCCTATATCCTTCCCTCCTAAATGTCTTATAGTCGCTCTTGTTTATCTACAATATAAAAAAAACCTACATTAATAGTGAAGCAAAATGTTAAACAAAAAATGATATCATAAATAAGTAATGCTAAAAATTTTCTTTTACAACACAAATCATGAAAAAAAGTTGCCAAACTTCTTCTGTGGCATTCACTTGGTTGGTATTTGGATCCCATGTAACACCCGTATGCCCTAAAAGGTCATAGAACAAGCGATGCATCTTACGCAAACGATTCCACTTACCCTTCAATTTCTCTATCCCGTAAACAGATTTTGTGGCAACAATCATATCTTGATTGATCTTGCCCCAATCGTCTTTTGTGAACGTTGAACATTGCAACTTCCCAGCTCGTGGCTCGTCCAAAAAAAAAAAAATTATTTCAGTGACCAGAACGATCACTGAACTTCCGTTCGGTCACTTTTGACCAAACGGTCATTGAACTTTGCTTTGTCAGTGATCGTTTTGGTCCCTGATAATTTTTTTTCAAATTTCATTTTCTTCCTATAAATACCCATCAATTACAACATTTTTTCTGACCAAACTTACTATCAATCTCTTATTCTCTACTATACTCTCTACAACTCAATTATTATCAATATTATTCATTCATTCATTCATTCTCATTTCTATACTCTTCTACATTTTATATTCATATCATTAAATTATAATCTTGATTTTACAATATAGTTTCTACACTACTACATAATCTTCATTAATTTCTCAATTCTACTTCACTTCTTTTTCTTCAACATTTAATTTCAATTAATCACAAATGGATTCACGCTCATTTATTGAAAATTTGTTCGATGTCGGAGTCGGAAATGAAGCAAATGTGTCCCATAATCAATATGGGAATCAATATGGGAATGAGTTTGCCGGTCTAAATGAAGTACCCATTCCAGAAAATATTAAAGATTACAATGTTCATGAAAGTAGTCATCAAATTAATTTGGATGACGTTGATGCTGAGGCTCCAATTGATTTGGAATAGGATGATGAACCTGTTATTGAAATTCCCGATGCAAGAGGGAAGAGAAAGGTAAAGAAGCATGCAAAATGTTGAGATCATTTTAAATTGGTTCAAACTGGTCGTATGGTCGATGGAATTCCAGAAACCAAAGCAGTATGTAAATACTGTCAACAACGATTAGCTCATCAAAAAGGCATTGGAACCACCCACCTCAACCGTCACTACAAAGCATGTACGGCCAAACATGGTCTTCTTCCTGCTGGTCAAACGCAACTACAATTTGGTACTTCAGGCAGCGGTGCTACTACTACTACGCCACTTAATACGTGGATGTATTCGAAGGAAAGAACTCGAACAGGAATGGTGAAGTACATTGCTGGATCTGAGTTGCCACTAGCACAAACGGACAACCAACATTTCGTTACATTTGTCAAAGAATGTCTTCAACCGAGGTATGCTGGGGTAAGTCGAAATACTCTTCGTTCTGATACAATAGAATATTTTTTAAATGCAAAGAAAACATTGATTGCCGATTTAGAAAAATATGGGGGTGTAATATCTTTAACTTCGGATTTATAGGAAGGGATTAATAAAAGATGTTACATGGCTGTAACTGCACACTATATAGACCCACTTTGGATCATGCATAAAAAAATAATTGCTTTTAAAATTATTGAGTACCCGCACAATGCTCCCAATATATTTAGTGCTATTATGAACGTTATTAGAGAATATAAATGCGAGAATAAAATTCGTTCTTTTACGTTCGACAACACTAATGTAAATAAGCCTGTTATCGAGAAATTGCAAAAAGTACTTCAACCTGAATTTGGTGGTTTTTTATTTCATATTCGATGTGTATGTCATATTTTAAATTTAATAGTACAGATGGTTTAAAACATGTTAAGGATGAAATTCAACGAATTAGGGATGCACTAATTTATATTACTATTTCACATAGTAGAAAACAAGCATTTGAGGACTTTTATGCCGAACATGGGGTGTCGCATTCAAAAACTTTTATTAGTGACGTAGCGCATAGATGGAACTCCACATATTTATTATTAAAATCATGTGAAGGTTTCGAACATTTAATTACTGAATTTTATAACAGTAGGCATTTTAGAGACGACGAGGAAACTGTTTTGATTGAGTCCGATTGGATTTTAGTTACTAAAATTAAACATTTTTTGAAAAGTTTTTATGATGCTACAAATATTTTGTCTGGTGTTTATTATCCTACTAGTTGTATGGTCCTTCAACGTCTTTATCTAGTTGCTAGGACTTTTGATAGATTTAAAAATGACCCCGATTTTAGTTCAGTTATAAATGTCATGGAATTAAAGTTTAGAAAATATTGAGAAGACTTGCCCATTTTATTTCCGTTAGCATGCATCATGGACCCCCAATATAATTTATCTGGTACTAAATTTATAATTGAGCGAATGTCAGAATCTTTAACTTTTAACATACCTATTACCTATAGGAATTTGGAAGCAACTTTATCTGAAATGTATGTAATATATGCTTCACGAATGGGTACACAAGTTACTCGTGTACCCTTCGGCTCTACAAGTACTCCTCCCACTAATTTAGGAGATGACGACGCTGAAATTTTAAATTTATTTGAAGGTATGAACTCATATAGATATGGTCAAATTGGAAATGCATATGATTCCTCCAGTCATAGTAGTTTGTCTTCTACTGCATGTACTAGTCAAAATGCGTTGCCTGCTGAATTACTTGATTACTTTAATCATAATTGGCCTAGTAACAATGCATTAAGGAAAAATTTAGAAGAAGTAGTTGACTTCTGGCGAAAGTATGAACGCCGATGGCCAATAGTTTCTGCAATGGCAAAAGATCTACTAACACCTCCGGTTAGCACTGTAGCTTCGGAATCTGCTTTTAGTGCAGGATCTAGGGTTCTCTCTGATATTAGGAATCGACTAAAAGAAGATATTTTGGAAGCATTAATGTGCGTAAAGGACTGGCAAGATGCTCATTTTCGACTGCAAAATAAATATGCCGAAATTGCATGTAGTCAAGTAAGTGATATTTAGTTTAATCATATTTATGACGAATTTTTATTTAATACCTTTATAATTTTTTAAAAAAAATTGTACACATAACAAGTTGTTCGTTTACAATTTTTAACTTCGCCTACTCGAAATAAGAACTATTGAAGTAGCCGGTCCCAAACCAGGATAAAGGAGGAGGGTTTATATTTTATTATTTTTATTATTTTAAAAAGGAAAAATATTTGGAAAAATCATTTTACAATTTCTCATATCATATTTAATTTTATCATTTATAAAATAATGATTTTCAATCAATATGTTTTCTTCAAAATAAACTTGAAAATTAAAATATATTAAAATATATTAACTAAAAATTATTTATAACTTATAAG